CAATCATTTCTATGGTGAGTGTCCCCATTTCAACCGACAGTAGCAGACCAAATACCAGGCAAACAAATCCAGGATTAACTGCATCAATCTCTCATTCATCTCCTCAACAATTACCTCATACAGAGTATATGCCTCAAAGCTTTAATGAAATACATTTTAAAAATTTATATTAATTACGTAGAAGCGCACTTATAATTAACTGTCAATAAATGGGAAATAGCTGCTTTCCAGTTCATAAACTGAGCAGTACAATTATCCTGCAATGGAGGTTGCTCTGTTATTTGTAAGTCACATTTTAGTGATCTATAAATTATCATTCATCATTGTCTATAAAAATTTAGTAAAAAAAAGGTAAATGAAGCTAAGTTTGAACTAGTACCATCAATGCATATACACTGGGATATGTACCATATGTAAAGATTATACTACCATCGTTGATTTCACAATTTCCTCTCCTTTACCCCGTTGAATATATATGGTTACACAGAATATATGATAATGTATACAAGTAGCCAGAATATTTATGCAAACTGAATAATGTTCACAAACAGATACAAAAAATGTAGAATGTTTCTTGGAAGGGTTGGCTAAAAGGTTTATTGCACCATAGTGCTTGGGATAACATGGATGAATAATTACTTTTCTTTTACATGTAAGTAGCTAAAAAGATATAAAGTGCACCTCCTCTCAACTAATGGCTGTTTTTACCAGGCCCTTTCAACTGTTATGTTAATCAGGCAGCCACATATATTTTATTTAATGTCACGTTCATCATCGAACTAACTTTCTCTTCTTGGAAATGACACTATAGTAACAAACACTGTCTGGGGTAGCGCTAGCAATTTTTTTTGCTTAGCCAAATCACCACATTTTTTTCAATTTGTAATCAAAATGGTTATAATCTGGCATAAACATATCAAATCAAGCCCTTTTTCTTTAGCCATTTTAAGCCAGTTTTAGCATTTGGCTAAATTGGCGAGTGTCAGCGCTACCCCAGACAGTCTTGCTAATCTGACGTGATGCTTAACATCACTGTAGATCTACCACCCAAATGTAACAGATAATTAGTATGCTGAGGACAGTGCTCAATCCACATTTTTGCTAGTTCAAAAATTACATTCACAACAGAGCATGACTTACTCCATAGCAACTGCATGGTGGCAGAAACAGAGGAATTTAGGTATTGCACAGATGTCCCTTAAACTATGAAAATGGCAGAAAAATGTTCACTTCAATATATATATACTCATCATATGGAATTATTTTTTAAAAGACATCATTACAATGGAAATGCATGGCAAGAAGTAATGTTTGAGCAGATAACAAAAGACAGAAAATCCTCATGTAAATTCTGCTTTCCTTCACAGTACCAACTTGATAATTTTCTTACATGTGTGCTTCAAGAAGCATATTTACATTCAAGACTCATTTTTTTTTCTGAACAAATCTCCTGCACTCACTTGTTAATGTTTGAGGCCACAAAACAGTACGTAATTACTTGATCTTTTCAATTGGCAAAAATTACCAAATTTTCAGATACATAATGTTACAATCACAAAATAATATTTTTTTATAGCATTTGTGATACTTAAACTGCATAGAATAGAACTAAAGAGTAGCCTGCTTTTTTAATTTTGTTGCTACCACTCAATAGGAATGTTCTAATTTGCAGAAATTAAGAACTAAAAATATAATATCTGTGAAATTCACAATTTACCAATTGAAAAGAATGAGTTACATCTGGAATTAGAAAAATAGATATCATGTATAAAATGATATATATTAAATAGAGGTCAACCTAGCTATTTGTGAGCTGCTGTTACTGACCATGCTATAAACTGGCAATTTATCTTCCATCAATTATGTACACGTTCCCTGATGACCACTAAGTAGATCTGGGATAAAACTAAAAAAAAAAAAGATCTTCTGATAATAATAAAATCAGTCTTCTCTTTATCCACCTTATATCAGAAGCTGTGTGGTCTCATCTGGACTTCTCCTTATATTCACTGGTTCTTCGTCCAAGTGTGACACCTGTAAATGGACCACAATGCCGAGGTCCACTTTCTGAAAGTCTCGTATGTATGTGAAGAAGTAGAGCAGGAATGCAATGGACATACACCACTCTGCAATGGTGCTCACCACATGAGGTGCGTAGCCCTGGAGAGAACGAGAAAAAAATATATATATATATATATCTTCATCTAGAGAATCGGTCACAATCTCTAATAACATTCTAGGACTTCTTTCACTAATTACTGAATATTTATTGTATCTCATGCAATTACATTGCTAATTAGGGCTCATTCCCAATGAAACTTACCATTCTACGTAGATGGATCCAACTCTGCGGGGACTCACGCTGAATGCAGTCAGTTAAAAAGATTATCAAGCCTCCATTTGTTCCCACCATATACTTGTATGGTTGCCAACTTTTCTGAATTCTACTCAATGCCAGGAGGAGATGTGTTAATCTGTTCATCTGATTGCATTCAGCCAGAGTCCTTGTGGAGTTGGATCCATCTATGTAGAATGATACTTTCATTGGAAATGAGCCCTTAAACTTGGAGATAGAGAGAGGCAAGGCAACTGACTGACTGACTGTTCATCATATGCTAATGCTAAACTCCATCTTCACAATTAACAGAGTTGACCAAAATTATCTTTCAGGAGTGCCTGTCAGGCAGCCACAACCAAAATGCCAGTTGTGGTGTATATAATCTGTTTTAGTAATCTTAGTAAAGGATCAGAAAATATAACTTTATTTATCATTTAAATAATATGAATAAAAAGATAAAACTGCAGTGGAAAAAATATTTTTGGTAGGGGAATGTGGGGAGAGGAGATTGTTAGATTCCCATTTGGCATTACAGAAAAATGTGTTTGGTTAAGAAATGGGTCTAACTTTTTCTCCATTTAGTGATGTGTTGTATCCAGTTAAACATTGTTTATGTGTGTGTGTGTGTGTGTGTGTGTGTGTGTGTGTGTGTGTATAGAAAGTTTTACAATCACACATAAATCACAAGAAATATAAAATTGCTCATTTCCTGTGAAGAAGGCAATTTTGGCAATAAAACCCCCCATGTGTTTCATGCCTGCCTACACAGGTAAAATTGGCACATTAACACATGACATCATTACGCTGAGATGTGGGAAGTCATGAGAGTAAAGCATGTAATGTTCACATAAAAATTCTGTCAAAGCTGCACTCTCAAAATAAAGGAGTCAGCACATTTTATAAACTCAGACTCTTTGGAACTGGAAATTGGTTTTAAAAATCCACTTAGGATATGTTCATACCAACTTCAGTTGACACCTAATATAAAAAATGGGTGAAGAAATCAGTGGCATGATACTGATCTGTGCACGACAAGCAATGTTATCAGGAGTCTAAAGAAAGAGAAGGAAGGTCAGCTGTACTTTTAAAGCACCAGACACAGGTTCTTTCTTTTGTTCAGTTGCAAACTCCCTACACACACATGCACACACACACACACACACAGACATGTAAACACACACACTCACATACACACATTCTTATGCTCAGATGCTCACACACACACATCCTCACATGCACACACACACACATGCACACTTACACACTAACACATGCGCACATGCAAACACACACACACACACACACACCAGATGAAAACAGCTGTGGTAATGTAAATCCCAGGCACAGCCAGCTAATAAGGATGTCACAATATTTCTGCTGTGAATGAGCCACATAAACCACAAACAAGGAAGCAACAATTTCTAAACAGTAATTCATTCTCAGTTTTCCAAGAAAATTGGTGAGAAAAAAAGGTCATCAAAATAATCAGTTAGGATATTTGAAGACGCAACTGGATCCAAAAGTTTTCAATGTAAGATTGTGGCTTCATATTTGTCATATTTCTTATTTATATTCATGATTTATATAATAACAATGCTTACATAAATTTGAGGGTACAGAAAAAATTGCTTATACACACATGCTTTTGAATCTATATGATACATTACTGCCTGCAGCATATACCAGCACTGTTTTCTGAACAAAATATTTTTGAAAGAACGTACTAGTAGCTGATACAAACATTTGCAAGCTTTGTCACCCAAAGTTTGAATGAACAAAGGATTTAATCTATTTAATTTTTGACTTTATCCAAACACTGCCAGTACAAATCAGTCACATTCAAGAACTTTTCAATACTACATGTCTAACATAACATGTATGTGAAAAGTTAAATACAGAGCAGTTAAAAACTATGAATTTGCACTTTTAAACATATCATTAGCAAATAAGCCTTTGTTAAAGCATGTCTGAGAGAATTATTTGCTGTAATGTTTGGTTTTTGTCCAAATGTAGATGATCCTTCCTTGCTAAAGCCATAATTCATGATGAGCTCATGTTCCGGGGTGAGATCACCATTACAATGCCAGTAGCAACTCACATATACAGTTCTTTAATGGACATTAATTTCTTAAAATGGAGGAAGAAAATTTCCAGAAGAAAAATTCAAGTAACTGGTCTCAGGAAGTATCTGCAGATGGCTGTTAGCTCCATAACTAACACATAATAGTCCAATTTTGGGGTGGAATTTTTTGGTACATCAGTAATGCTCACTTTGAAAAAAAAAAGCCATTTCAGAATTTACATTTATTCCATACACATTTAAAACAAAAACAAACAAAAGAATACTTAAATCTAAAGAATAAAAAGTGTCACTACCTATATAATACCACAGTGTCATGTGTAAGTATTAAATGATATCTTCTGATAAAAAATGGGATTAACAAAANCTAATAAGGATGTCACAATATTTCTGCTGTGAATGAGCCACACAAACCACAAACAAGGAAGCAACAATTTCTAAACAGTAATTCATTCTCAGTTTTCCAAGAAAATTGGCGAGAAAAAAGGTCATCAAAATAATCAGTTAGGATATTTGAAGACGCAACTAGATCCAAAAGTTTTCAATGTAAGATTGTGGCTTCATATTTGTCATATTTCTTATTTATATTCATGATTTATGTAATAACAATGCTTACATAAATTTGAGGGTACAGAAAAAATTGCTTATACACACATGCTTTTGAATCTATATGATACATTACTGCCTGCAGCATATACCAGCACTGTTTTCTGAACAAAATATTTTTGAAAGAACATACTAGTAGCTGATACAAACATTTGCAAGCTTTGTCACCCAAAGTTTGAATGAACAAAGGATTTAATCTATTTACTTTTTGACTTTATCCAAACACTGCCAGTACAAATCAGTCACATTCAAGTACTTTTCAATACTACATGTCTAACATAACATGTATGTGAAAAGTTAAATACAGAGCAGTTAAAAACTATGAATTTACACTTTTAAACATATCATTAGCAAATAAGCCTTTGTTAAAGCATGTCTGAGAGAATTATTTGCTGTAATGTTTGGTTTTTGTCCAAATGTAGATGATCCTTCCTTGCTAAAGCCATAATTCATGATGAGCTCATGTTCCGGGGTGAGATCACCATTACAATGCCAGTAGCAACTCACATATACAGTTCTTTAATGGACATTAATTTCTTAAAATGGAGGAAGAAAATTTCCAGAAGAAAAATTCAAGTAACTGGTCTCAGGAAGTATCTGCAGATGGCTGTTAGCTCCATAACTAACACATAATAGTCCAATTTTGGGGTGGAATTTTTTGGTACATCAGTAATGCTCACTTTGAAAAAAAAAAAAGCCATTTCAGAATTTACTTTTATTCCATACACATTTAAAACAAAAACAAACAAAAGAATACTTAAATCTAAAGAATAAAAAGTGTCACTACCTATATAATACCACAGTGTCATGTGTAAGTATTAAATGATATCTTCTGATAAAAAATGGGATTAACGAAATGAATAAGAGAACATGTGAGGAGCCATGTTCGGTGTCTCTCTCTCCCTAACCACAAAAGAGGACACAAAACTGTATAACAGAAGAAATGCAAAGTGACCTTACAGGGGCGTTTTATTATAACACAAACACATGCCCCAACACTGAGATGAAGCAAGACACATTTAATCCTATAGACACACTTACTTCTTTCAAACATGTCTGAGTAAAAATTTTAAAATGAGCCAGAATCACTGAGCTCTATACACAAATATTCTATGCATGATTTCATCAGTCTGCGTTGAAAAAGTGTCAACACGGTAAACATCTTCGTACCTCACTTTATTCATGTACACGTAGTCTATGAATTTGACCTTGATTTTTTTATGACTCTTATGTTCATTTTATCTTTTTTATTTATGGGTGCAATTGTCAACACATCAAATTTGACTGAATGTTAGCAACCCAGATGGATGAAGTTTAATATAAAAATCAAGTCACTCTGAGGAGATTGAGCACTGTATGTATATAACTATGGAGTTCTGTTAACATACTCACACATTAACACAAAATGTGTATTCATGTTTCGACCTCTGACATACTATTGGGTTTTTATCTTTTACCAATATTAAAATATTCATTACTCTTTGTATTAAGATATGAAGAGTCAGCTTTAAATTAAACCACAAATAAATATTTAATTAAGTTATTAATAGCAGACTACTTAGCACTTTTGTCATTCAGTTTAAGTACTTTCATCATTCAGTTTTTGATAGTCAGATATGTGAGGTGTACATGTAGGCATAACCACCCACATAAAACGTGTCCCGTGTCAGCAGCTCTGTTAAAACAGTTACAAAACAACATCACGCAGAGAAGTGAAAGATATGTGAGTCACTTCCACACACTGTAAATAGCACAAACATTGAATGATAAACTGTTAAATGAACACTATCTATTCAGATATGTATCCAGTGTGTGTATGTGTGTGTGTGTGCATGTGTGTGTGTGTGTGTGTGTGTGTGTGTAAGTGCACATCTGTGTTAGCTCATAAAATGTGATAAAAAAGTCCAAGAACAATTTCTAGGAACTTATTTTTCATAGAAAGTGAAAGTGAACGATCTCCTCATTTCTAAAACAACAACAANATCGTGTTATCGGTAAAAGTGCACGGCGACGGCGACGACGGCGACGGCGACGACAGACGCAGATGATGGCTATATGTACAGACACATCTGTGTCTGTACATAAAAAAGAAAAAGAAAGAACACATTTATGCAGAGACCGTCAGGGTAAAGTATGAGGGTGAGATCAATCTATTTACGAATGAAAATCACAAATTTAAATAATACTTCTAACAACTATGTGAGCACCCAAATAACACTAAGAGTACTTCAACACTTTAAAAAGCAAAATACATTTCTTATCAGCACAATCCATACAAATGTTGATTACCAAAAACAAGATAGTCTAGTGCCAGCAATTTCAAAAGGGATAACTTTTTATAGTGAAGTTGGCTTTTTTACCCTCTTAGTTTACCCAAACTGAGAAATGCCATACAATCTGTAATCTAATCCTCAGTCACAAGTAGTTTTTTTTCTTTTAATTTTTTACTGAACTACAAGTAGGAGAAAATTGCATCAGATGTGACATCTTCACAAACACAATGCTCACTTCACAGGGCACATCGTACAACTTCTCTTATAATTTAGGGCTCATTTCCCACACCTAACTGTTCAGAAAATGGGATGTGCTGTTGTTGTTTCTGTCACTAAGGAGGTTATGTTTTTCACCTTCATTCATCTATCTTTTTTCTTTCTTTCTTTCTGTTCAACACCAGCCTTACTCAAAAGTTATGGATGGATTTTGATGAAATTTTCAGGATAGGTGAGAAATGTGCTTAATTAACAGAAATTAGATTTTGGTGGTGATTCAGTAATTATTTAATGGTAAATTATAATTAAATTATTTGCCTATCTGTCTTTAAGCAAAATTAAGCAATAAGTTATGTTTGGGTTTTGATGAAATATTTAGCACAAGTCAGGATTGGGCTAGATATTTGCAGTAATTAATTAATCAATTTTACAACTAATTAATAAAAGTAATTAAAGATAATAAGAATTGAGCAGAATTGGCAGAGATTTGCACACTCTTGGTGCTTAAAACTTTTCTAGCTTATCCATATTATCAGAGCTATTCTGTTTTAACAGAGCTGAATTCATTCAATGTATGCAGTGACAAAAATAAAAAACATGCACAGAACAGAATTCTAATACTCACCATAAGATGCAGCAAAAAAAGGGGGGGGGCTTAATTTCTTCATCCAAAAATCTCATTATTTCATCTGGGTATCATTATTAAATAATATGATACTTGATACAAAAAAACACTTTTTTCCAGTGAACTTACCCAATCTGTAGGCTTCCAGTGTACTCTACTGTCTGGATGGTCTGGCATTGCATTCCACTCCACTCTAGATATAGACGCTGCTATGAAGGCTGAACACGGTGATAAGGAAAACAGTCAAAATATGATGGTAGCTAAAACTGTACTGTTAGAATATGACAACTGTGAGTGAAAAAGACAGTAATTAAAATCTGAAGACCAGCAATTTCCAACTTTAAAAGGAAAAAACTGGAGAAAAAACAAAGACCATACCAAAGCTGCAAATAGCCTGAAAACCTTTTTTTTCCCAAAGGATACTGACTACCATACTGATGAGAGAAAACAATGAGAGAGCAAGGCGCCACCTGCAGATGTAGACTCCATTGAACTGTGGGTACATTTTGTAGGAGATAGCACAGTGTAGGAGGGAATACACCACACCACCACCAAATACAAGACCTGCACCTAGGAAGTGGACAACTTCAACTTTTGTTTCCTGGAAAATATATTGTATTGAATATTGAATAGAGTAACTGAATTTAAATGAAATGAATTGATTTGTAGAGTATCATATCATATCACAAAAATATCAATAGGATATTAAGGCACTTTTGGAGGGAGGTCCTCAGTTGGGGTCAAGCCAGGATTTTGAAATACGGAGTCCTAATTCATTTTCTTACTGTATAGGTATGTTTAGGTCCCATTGGATTTGATAACCAAAATCTGACATAAGGGTTTCCAAAACTGAAATCAGGAGTCCAAAACACAGTGAGATAGCAGTTGCTGTCTGATGACACTTACCTGGAAATTTGCAACCATGGACAGCCCTAATGACGTTAGAATTCCAAAGCCAGCAGCCACCTTGTTCAGAATATCAATTCCTCGATACTCATCACTTATGAACCCCTTCACCAGTTTGTAGCGAACATACATGGTTGCTAGAGCTAGAGCATTGAAGAGAAAATGCCATGTTAAGAATGTAATGCAAAATCCTGTACAGTTTGTGTGTGTGCTCACTGAGAGTATTTTATGTATGAAACGAAAAAAAGTTCAGTATTGCATAAGTATTTAAATCAGATATAAGTTTATGTCCATGATCACCACCTGAGCTTCAGAGATAACTTGACACTAACCTCTTCACTGTAGCCTATCTTCATCGTGTCAAGTAGGCTACAGTGAAGAGGTTAGTGTCAAGTTATCTCTGAAGCTCTGGGTGATGATCACATTTTATGTATATTTATTTTCTGATATGTAAATACATGGTTATATTTTGTGTATTCAACAAGGTAATAAAAGAGTTCCTATATAAACCAACACATGTGTGCTTTGCTCTCTACACTCACATAGGAAGGCAGACAGGTTCAGGAATTGTCCAAATATACAGCTCTCTGGGGCATTTGTTCCTGTGTCACTAAAATACAGATACAGAGATAAGTAAATTATGAATCTTGTTATAAACACCTATACATTTCATAGTGCCTGCCCTAAAAACAAAAATATACTGTCTTAAAAATCTGATACATTGTGTTGCTTGTACATGTACATGTACATGTAGACTATAAGAAAAAATATCAAAACTTAAAAACACTGACTTCCTTATAAAGTTGAAAGGACACATTGCAATATGTGAACAGCAACTAACACATGCAAAATGTAGATGCACACTAATAACACACACACAAACACTTAGTCCCAAGTGAAATCTGGACAATGTCACACAATAAAATATATCATGAAGGCAAATTCAGTATGCAACAATCTTTTTAAGTCACACATGTAATACAACACCATAGCTAACAGTGTTGTACATAATACGTTATAACATGTGCATAATATGTTATAACAACCTAAAAATTCAGCAATAGTGAAGTTCCAACAATGCACAATGATACAGCTGACACACGGTCACAACTAACACACTGTCACATCTACCACAGCAATGCTCACCTTATGTAAGGGAAGAACACCTCCACGTCATTTCTCACTACTGATATGATGTAGGTGCTGACAAAAGTGGCAGTAGCAAGAACTCCCAATGAAATGGGCAGGAATCCCAAGCCAGGCCCAAGTATATTCATTCTTCATTAACCACTGGAACAGAAAACAATCACAGCAATGCAGTTGCATGCCTCTCTCTCTCTCTCTCTCTCTCTCTCTCTCTCTCTCTCTCTCTCTCTCATATATACACTATACAGTACATGGCTACAATATAAAACACCAGGTCGTTTTTCTTTTTCTTGTGTTATGAACCTAGAGTGCTGCCATGTCTGGTAAGTGTATGGTCAGTCATTTCAAACTTAATTATCACAGTAAAATGGTATTTAATATAATTATCATAATATGTTTCAAATTGCACAGACTGATTGTGAAATGATTCTTGAATAGAAAAAAAATTTGCAAGAAAAATAAAATAAATTTGGCAGGAATATCTTGTACAGATTACCTTAAATCAATGCAATTAACGTGTTTCTCTCAAAACAGTCCAGCACATGACCACATACTCATGATGAGTCAACACACACTGGTCAGTCAGCAATTAAACTGAATGTACATACCACAATGACGAAGTCAAACGCCTTTGTTTTACCTCACAGTAGTCCACTAACGTTAAAACCGCAAGCACGAGGTTGTATGACTGTGATCTTTTCCTTCCCCCTGTACCACCTGCCTGAGAAACTTCCTGGTCTTGTGTCTCTGAGATCAGCACTATATTAAAATATCTGATGATCAATATTTGAAGTAATCGCCCCAATCTAACGCCACAACACAGCCATAAACAGGTCCTGGATGTGATTGATTTAGGTTACATTGACAAAACGCCCATCGATCACTTCATAATCACTTTCGTTTGCAGTTGTTTTGACCGGAAGTGTGACCCCTTATTTTTCCTGACTTTATCTAAGAAAGAGCAGCGCAACAGGTTTTAAAAGACAAGCTATTTTAAAAATCCAAGTTTCAAGGTTTATGTTTGAGGTATATCAGCGTGACACGCTTTTTCAATCTATATAATAAGATATAAATAGAGGAATTTCAGGCTGACATTGGTTCAAAAGACCAAAATGATCTAAGTAAAAAACTCGCGCATGCATTTCTGATGAAAAAAAGTAAAAATTCAAGTTAGTTCAATTTAAACTTTACGTAAGAGGCGATTTTCGTTATTGACAACCGTTATGATACTTATAATTTATCTGTTGCAAAGAAAACATTGAACACTGAGGCATGGATGGTTTATTGTCATGTCCACATTTTATCTCTAAATGTTCTATTATATGCACTTGGACAGTATTTTGAATGAGTGAATGAATGAGAGGAGGTACACATTGAACATTAATGGACAAGTTCTAAAAGTGGCTACAGTACGTGCAATCAAATTCCGTTCCGTAAAGTATTTTGCCGCAATGACTCCATCATCTCCTAAAGCATCTTTACTTTTTGTTAGTCTGATTCTAAACCCCATGGGTCTAGCTTGACCATATAAAAATTGTAAAATTGCAAAATTTTCTTACCTTTCCTCAACGTCCGCCTGTCCGTTATTATTATTTCTTAAATCCGGTTGGTCTTCACAGTGCAAAAATCGTATAACTACCGCCCTCTTCTTTTTGGTACGCGCGTACTGTTAATTCATAACCATAGCACAACCAGTACACACCCTTATGCAATTAATTACAGAGATTAAAATGCTTAACATGTTCGAAATAACGCCGCTAATACACAGCTTGTGGCACGAAGTAGTATTCCTTTCGAGCTTTAAGTTCAATGCTTCTTGTACACGCCATCAGAGATTTAGGTAGATTGCGGATTGTGTGTGTAGGAGCGGATCTGTGTCTAGATAATCAGGACAATGTAGGGTAATTTCACGCCAGCACGCACATTAGACCCTCTAATTACGGGTGTTGCCAATGGTTGATTGCATAACAAGCTGTAATTATAACTCTAATAACTCAACATTTAGTTGTAGTACACGAGATGTTCAAGATTGGTATGTTAATCAATGCATGGACTGTGAAGACTGAGATTTTAATTTCTGTCTGACGAAAAATCTCTTTGTGAAGTAAAATATTTGTTGGAAGCTATAATAACATGTACCCGTTACTGACCAGTATAGAGGCAAAGATGGGTGCTCTCAAATCTCTCTTTTTTTCATATCATTTTTTTCTTTTTTATTTGCATATCACATACATTTTGAGTTTCAACAAGCCACTTGACACTGAAACGTTAGTATATCAATACATTACACCGAAAAGCGTTATACCGAGATGTCGGTGCACCATTACATAACCGACTGAATGAAGCGTGTATCCGCTAATTGATATTCCACCGGTTCAACAAAAAACGTGCTTTTATACAACCAGACTGAACACAAGCAGCTAATGTAACATTGAAAAGCCAGCTTCTGAGCTGGAAATAATCTTCAAATTAGATCCCTGGGGGAAAATACTGCTAAATTCTTTTTAAAGCACATAGACCTATTTCCTTCTATTCTATTTTCAACCTTTTGAACTGATATTTCTGCAATAACCCATTTCTCTTTTTAACTTTTGCGTGGGGCATGGGTTCGTAGCCTTCATACTCGGCATTTTGCCTACAGATTATGATTTATAAAACTTTTGATTATTTTGAGAGCATTTGAGTTTTTGCTCAAGCAAATATTTTACTAATATCGATCCACTTTGTCAACTTCGCCTCCATCAATTCAAAACTCTGTTTCCAAACGTGCCCTCTAGATCTTTTCTTTAATTATTTAATGAGCCTCCATATGTGATTTCGATTTCTGCTGTTTTCTTAAAACTAACAATCTTGACATATTCTAAAAAAATGCTAATTAAGTCATTTTATAGCCACCAATCCCAAAACTATATTTTGGTGCAAAAATAATAATGATGATAAGAATAGATGGAAAGAAAAAACCAGAACATAAATATTTCTTCATTTTTCTTTTTCCCCAGATTTTTCAGAACAACGGAGTTCAGGTTTAAGCCAAGCTGATTCAGTCAGAAGGACGCAGTATATTAACTAGTTCTTTTCATTCTGCAACGCAGTACAGTGATGAGATTATATTTGAAATTTTTATAAATAGAAAAAAACGAGATGGCACATAATTATTCTTTTTTCTCGAATTTAACCAACTACCAAATCTAAATGGACGTTATGTCGTCAATAAATGATAGTCTGCGTATTCTCAGAATTAAACGTGGGGTCCCACCATGCGGGATTTACTAGTGCGGGCACCTTGACAGAAAAATGTTTTTTCAAAAGTGTCAGACCCCTTATGTATGTTTTGAATTAAGTTGAAGGTAAAAACATTAAGAGTAGTGTATGCTCATTTTCTCTAATTTACACGACTTTTATGTGTGTTATTTCAACGCTCGGAATGTGGCAAAGTCGAGTTTTGTTTCAATATGTTATCATAAACCATGTCATTGGCTATGACCAGCTACTGTACAATTTGAGGCGACATCTGCCGTGTGCCAGCTGTTGTTCAGATAAATCACGCTCCACTATCAGGCCCCCCGCCACAGCTCGCCCTCGCTACTACATATGTGTGAGCACAAGTACCTTAGAATGTCTTGGCGCACTTGGCAGATTACGGCGTAACAGACGACAGCATAGGACGGAGTAAAAGTATGGACACTGATACTACCTGTGGACACGTTGACATCACAGAAATGTTCGGATTTGATTTTTGCTGCAGAATTTGATCATCTTAAAATTCATTGGGATATTTATTTATATTTATATTTATATTTATATTTAAAACTTTTGTTTACGTGCTTGCTGCAAATGGCTAACGGACAGAGAATTGCGATCGTTGTATTATTTCCATGCATATTAGCAAGTAAGTATAAAAAACATTTAAAATGTTTCCATATTATGTTATGCGGGCCATACACAAATAACACATTTTTTAAGAATTAAGAAAAACCAATTTGATGTAAATTTCCGCAAAATTCTTTTCGTGTGCTTTTTACAACCTTTTCAGTCTCAGCTTATTTTACGTAATGACAAGTACATTTTTATTAAGCAGCTGCTGCATATTCTCGAACTGTCTAGTTTGCCTTGACGTATTAATCAGTGGACACGCGACAGGTCTACGTCCTGTCTCAGTATCTGTTAGAATGAACTTTTATGTAACGGAGTTTTTAGCGCCTCGCCTCACACAACAGAATTTTCCAAAGTTTCAAAATTTAATGCGTTTAAATATGAATTGCTTTGTCATAATACCAAGCTTCAAGATAAAGTCTGGGTTACATCCGCCGATGCTGACCAGCTTCTTTAGATTAAAAAATAAATGTGCACATATATAGGTTTTAAAATGAAAAGGTCCGTATTGGAACTGAAGTTCTGGGTACATAAAAAGAGAAAAATCAAAATCTTTCAGTGTGACATTAGTCCATATCGTGATCAAACCAAATATTTGTTGTTCAGCAAATACTTATTTGCCATCTGTGTAAATAGTTGACAACACCTGTACGTTAGAAAACATGTCGTTTACCAAGGACATTTTTCAGTATCCAGGTAACATTTGGCTTAATTTCATAAAACCAGAATATTCACTATCTAAGATAAACCGTGGCCTTGTCTTTGCCGCATTACTATAAATTTTGCAAATTCTAATTCCGCTAGCAGCTATATTTGTAACAAAGAAGTTCTAACTTTATGGCAAATGTAAATATTGAAGATGCCAGTTAATCATTTCATTTGTGTCATTTCATTCATTTCCGTACGTTTAACAGATGTCATCCGGTTGATTTTGTATTGACCAACATGCGATGTAAAAATTAAGGAAAGTTTGTTTGTCAAAACATTTTGGATCGCTTTTAATTTATAGACTGTATTGGGGGGGGGGGGGAGAGAGCAACGAAAAGCTCTCTTTATGTGTATTCTGTAGGATTGTATGCCTAACTCACAAACATTTTGTCTCTCTTAAATAATCACTTTTGATTAACATTTTTGTTATACTGTCAACGCCAATATAATGTCCTTGGTGCATCTGTTCCGCCAGGTATGTCCGCCATGCAGGTGCGCGTATCTGTCGTCCAGCATCCATCACTTGTACCGGCGTTGCTAGGCAACCAGGTGCAGCTGCTGTGTGAGGCAATGGCCAGCCAGCCCATGGACGTGCTGAACATTGCCTGGATGTACAACACAGCCTCCAATATTGTGCAGACCAGTCAGAAGTATACCTTGTTCCGTGACCCTCAAATGGGCTTCTGGTCTGCCGTCAATTTGACCCTAACCATCAACAACCTTCAGCCTTCAGATATGGGGAACTACAGCTGCCTGGCTTGGAACTCTGATGGGAGGTTAAGTGGAGAGACCTTGCTTCTGGAGACAGGTAAGAACTTGGTCAATGGAGGAATTAATGTGTATGTGTGTGTGTGTGTGTGTGTGTGTGTGAGCGAGAGAGAGAGAGAGAAAGAGAGAGAGAAAGAGGGCAACAAATATGATAGTTCATGCATTCTTCTCTTCTAGATGGTGGAAATGGTGTAAATATTGAGCACCTTACGCCAGAGATCACCACAACAACAGCCATCATGACCACCACCCAGCAAACCACCACAGAGCTCAATGAGAGACCAATGGAGAACAAACACAGTGGACAGATGGGGCTGAACGCTTTGCCTGTCATCTACCTGGTCACAGCCAGCTGGTTAACATGGATATCCTATGGATGAGATGTGCAGCTTTACACTTGTAGTTTCTTCAGTTCAGGGATTTCCTATAATCATTTTCTTTATTTTCCATAAGTTTACAAACATATATTAACTGGCTGCATTGGAAATTACATGCTGATTAATGCAGTGGTCAATAAAATGTGATATCTTCACCTTTGTTTGACTAACCTTGTAATACAAAGGTTTTTGTACTTCACAGTCTGTTAACGCAACGAACCTTAAGTCAGACCATCAGACTTGGATTAGGGCGAGTCAAAGTACCACTCTATGATAAAGTTAACAGCCCCACAATCTCTGGGGAATCATGGACACAAATATGCCACCAGAACAGAATGAGGAAAATGACATTATTTCTGTTCTTTTAACATAAGAAATTAAATCCTGATGCTCTCTGGTTAGGACAGTGTGTACGTCAAGTTTTGAATCACAAGAAAACCTTGGAACAGAGTGCAAATTTCAGCAACCTAGAACTGGGGATCACCACCACCACATCAATACGGGATATGGACAATGACAACAACACTGTATAAAATAATATAATTTCATTGACTTTTGAAATTAATGTTCAACTAAGATAACTTTCTTCACCACTGTGCTAGAACTGCTCAAAGAGGACCAAAAAAGAAGAGTGAGAGAGAGTGAAAAATGAAAAAAAAAAGAGAAAACTAGTTATTTAAGCATATAACCAAGAATGGTAAATCACAACTAACTACCTCAGGGTAGTGAGGGGGACACTATATAAAGAAAGTTAACATTAGGAAAGAAAAGTCTCAGTGTCCCCTAGCTACCTATATATTTGGAATCAACAGAGGAAAATATAAGGAAATGCTACAGTTGTTTGCCAGATACTTGCCTTGATAATGACATTTAATTTGTGGAGCAAAATTCCCAGGTTACTTCACCATATTGTATTGAATAATCATTTTTATAAATAAATTCTCAAGGCTGATAAATTGAAAGGATTATTTACAAAGGTATAGAATGTCAAGAGATTGGTGTTTAGAGTAACAAGAAGGATTTTAAACAGTTTAACAGATTCGTTAAAGAAATATTCAACTGATATGAAACTTGCTCCACCTTATATATAAAATATCTCCACTATACTACCTACCATACCATCATAATATAAGGCATCTAAGTGTTGGTTGGGGGGGGGGGGGGGGGCAGCATTTTAATTGTATAATTAGGGTGGTTGGCTCCCAATTTTTCTCTACATATTGTCTGAAATGTAGAATGCCTAATTAATGAGAGATCTTTTAAAAGATAAAATATTCTGTAAATTTAATACTGAACTTTATTCCATGCAGTAGTTTATAACATCTATGTACCTACAGAGTCTACAGAAAATGTTGTCTGCTACATGTATGCTACTATTTCATTAGTCTATGAATGAGAATCTAAAGATAACACAAATGAAAACAAATACTACTATTCGGTCTTTGCACAACCTTACATTACATTAAGTACACCCTGGCCTTATGCATATAGAAAACATGATAGTCATGTAACAATTTTCACATCTTTCTTTAAAATAGTTGTAAGCCCACAATGCTGCCTGCAGCACAGGTGCCTGTACAAATTGCATCACATAAACAACCCAAAAATGCTCTCTGCCATTGCAGTTAACATAGTCATACAAGTTGATCATACAAATTCATCAAAACTTATAAGAGTACAAATGCATAATTGAAGTAGAAATTTTACAGCACCAAGAAGAAGTGTATTAGCAAAATAGTTCTTATAAAGTTTTCTACATCATAGAAATATTTTGGACTACAAGTCTGTGAGGATAGTTTTTTCAAGTTAAAAAAAAACAATAATGCAAACAGTCCTGTCAAAAATAATAAGCATTGTCAATGACATTAAAAAAGCCCTCTACAGAAACTAATATAAGCACATTTTATGCATACATTCAAAAATAATAATAAAATAATGCTCTTCTGTTGGGGACTTCTAATTATTTCAGAAGTGGTGGCATAACGTGCCTTACCAAGTCAATTATCATCAAAATACAGGATCTCATCCACTCACAAATGTATATTTATATATACACATAAAAACCCAGAATAAAATCCATTCTTTTTAATGCAGTACAGTCACCTGCCCCTAGAATATATTGCCTAACCTTCTCCTATGTGTATCATTTATTACTAAGGTTAATTCTAGGCTACTGTAGATGATACCCAGGTATTTAAATTGTTTACCCATTTTACCCATTAACTAACTGTGATTACATGATAACTTAACGTAAATGACTTCTCACACAAACATGAACTGAAATGAAGTATTTTTTCTTTACAATACAGTTATCCTAGCTTTGTTCTCCATGTGACATTAAAACAGAAATAAAAAAGAGTCAAAATACCAGTACGTGGCATACTGAGACAGTGCTACGGCTAAACTAGCACCATCAAATATTTATGAATAAAAGCGTACACAAGATTCAATAAGCAGCACGAAACATCAAGTAGTCTTTTACTACATCAGTGCAGTACACACGAGTACTCATAAGACATAATCTAATGACCCACTTCCACAGTATACATATACAGATGTTACTGAAACAAATGGCACCCTAATCACATTAACCCATCACATAACAGAACCCAAGTAGACAACTCTCAGACTGAAATCCTCCTGTGTATTTTGATCACATAGAAACAGACAAATATAGGACCATAAAACATGAATAAGAAAGTATGAGCACAATGGTGGTGGACGATAATGAATGCTGAAGCTGTTTATGTCAACTTGTTCGTATCATCCCAATGAAACGACTGGTCTTTTCAGTAACAGTTCGCTCTCCTGCGACATGATAGGCAGCTTGTTGGTCATGTGATAGTTCACCAGGTGACTGATACTGTCAAATGTGCGATCACGAGTTCTCACCTAAAAAAAAAAGTTAAACCATTACAATGGATAAAATGAACACATTTAGTTCTGTAACAGATGTGACAGCATATTCATAAATAAAAATATCACTGACAAGGAGATTTTGTTTCTGGCTTTGTTGGTTTGTTAATTTAAGAGCCTAACTCAATAAATTACTGACAGATTTTTATAAAATTTTCAGAATGGTCAGAAATGGGTAAACCTGGAATCTATTACATTTTGATGATCTGGTAATTCCTTAGAAACAATGAGAATTGAGCTACTTTGGTAAAGGTCTGAATTCTCTGAGAGTTTTTCTAGTTAGTACTGAAGTTCGAATAAGTAGAGGGGTGTATAGGAAAGTTTATTTTTCAGCATTATAACATGATTTCCTACATACCACTCCATTGGGATCCACTAACATCAGATGTTTGAAGTGACCACTCCTCATCCCGCTTAAAATGTACTGACCGGGACTGTTTTTACTCTCACGCACCAAAAAATCACCATCTTTTTTCAGTTTTTCTTCAGCCTGAAACATAAAGTGTTTTTTTTTTCTTTTATGGATGAATTGTCATTTGAATATGACATAAAAGACTTAAATCTGAAGACTGCAGGCAAAATATTTTTAAAAAATCTTCACAAATTATTTCTGACTTTTTCACTGTCTAAGTACAATATCAGGCCATTATAATTGAAAGTACCACCATTTTGCAATTATGTTAGAAGTATCCCAGTAGTATCCCACCTGTTGTCTTGTGAGTGCACCATGGAACCATTCCTCATTTTTGGGTGTTATGTCACCAGGGGAGCCTGAAGCTGCTCCAGTTTGTTCACCACTTAAGCTGCTTTTAAATGGTTCTGAAAAGAAATATTGCATTTACTCCAGTTAGTTCTCCACTTAAGCTGCTTTTAAATAGTTCTGAAAAAAATATTGCATTTACTGTCTTCTTTGCAACTTTCCTTTTGAACTTGTTTTCATATGGAGATTTCAGTTTACTATTTAATGTATTAAATGACAGTGGATAATACAAGTCTTAGATCAAAGTATCAAAGATAGTTTACCAAGAGAGCCTTTTCAAACACACTTAATTTCATTGGGTACCACAGTTTTTCGTCAACAGACCTTCACATAATGTTATATTTCCAAAACAGCTTAAATGGTCCTCTTAACTGTTTTCATGTAAGAGCAATATCATTTTATTACATAACTCTCTATTCACCAAACTAAGCCAGGCTTAATACATGAATATTTGTCACTGATCTTTTATATTCATACGCCATGCCTACAGCAACAGGCAATAATTACTTTAGCACTTCCCAATGGTATACTCACTCATGTCAAATGGGTCCAGATCCTTACTAGCCCCACTTGTAGCACCGTGATTATCATAGACGCCGCCCCCTACAGCTCCCTTGGCTTCCATCTCTGCCAGTTCATTGGGCAGGTTGTCATATGTTACAGGTGGTTTAACCATTGACAGATCACTCTCAGCTGAACATAAAACGAATGATAAAATGGTTGTAAAATCATAAAACTGGTGGATTCCAGGGCTATATATTAGAACATTTCTACCATACCTTGACCTTTGTTGTTGGACTAATGAACACTTTGAATTAATTACTTACTGGATATGATCCAGCACACAAAGTGTATTATTTTTCAACTGTCATACAAACCCTCAAAGTCATCTTGAAATGCCTCTTTCTGTGGCTCTGATAAATCCACCAGTAAACCTATTGCACCATCTTTATTGTCGTACACTGGATCTCTGAACTTTACAGAGGAATAACCATTCTCATCTACCTATATGAACGGAGAAATACATGATGATCATTAACATTTACAATGTTCCTTAAAATTATTGTAGTTTATCAAGTTAAACTCTTAATAATGAATTCATCCATAACTTTTCCTCAAACATACTTTAGTTCTTCAAGTAAAACTTGATATAACATTATACCATATCAAAATGTTTAATTTAATTTTTTACAACACCATCTAGGCCAAACGAAACTTTAATGTCAAAGTAAATAAATAAATAAATAAATAAATAAATAAATAAATAAATAAATAATAAGTCCTTGAGTCTTACAGGTTGGTTGGACTTGGGAGCAGAGTAAACTGGGAGAGGTGGTATGGGTGGAGCCTGATCAGGTGCTACAGCTCCAGGTCTGTCATTGTAATAGTCCGGGTCATCTCCCCAGGCTGACTCCTCATTGCTAAACACTGGACTCTCTAGTCTTTAAACAAACAGAAACAGGAATAATGTCATGTTTCATGTATGATAATTATTTGACACAAGTTGAAAATAATTTCATACTGTTGGCTTGCAGCCAACATGGACGTAGGCCTTCATCAGACTGACATGAGTTATTACTAACTAATGTTATGTTCAGTAAATGTTTCTTTATATTCAAAGAAATCCCATGGTATTCTTCAAAATAAATCTTTGGTATTTTACACAATAAATACAATTGAATGTCTTTTTTTTTAAATAGCTGTGACAGTTATCCTTCATATCATGGTGTAATATGTGAAAGTTTTGGCTGTAAGTGGAATAAATATACAAAACATTCAATGATGATGTGCAAAGAGCAAAAGAACATACTGGCAAATGCTAAAGCAGAAACACACATACTTGTCTGGGAGATTCATTGCCTTGGGCTGATTTCTGAGAAACTCTTTAAATCTCAGTTCGAAGGCCTGTCCCATGGTGGTGATGACATCCTGTGCTAGACCTCCCCCGCACTCCAGTATGTGACAGGCACGCCCATTCACAGAGTCCTTGGCCACATAAGCTACAAAGTCCATGGTATCCTATAAACACATAATGCATACACTTTTAGTATAACTGGGTACTCACTGAATTAACAATTGAAGATGCAGTTACATACAAATACACACATCTTCACTCCCTCTTTTTCTCTTTAAACCAAGAGATATATCCATAAAAAGCTGATTAACCAAAAAACTCCAGTATAAAATTCTATATTTGCCAGAGTGAGTAACACAATGATATTACTATATTATGTGATAGTGCTCTGTATGTGAAAAGTACTCACTGGATCTCCTCCTGAGGCAAAAGATATCCCAGGCATTTCATGGTGAACGAGAATCTGAAAAAAATTGCTTTAAATTTGATACTGTGTTGGGTGGGACATTGTGTGTTGTGATGACATATATCATGATAGTTGTGTCATTTTGTCTGTTGTAAGAATAACACAACAGATGCAATAACATGGTTGAGACATTGTGTCTGCTGTGACAAAAGATAATGTGTTAGGTGGGACATTGTGTCTCTTGTGAAAAAAGAGATCATATTGGTAGAGACATTGTGCCTGTTGTGCTAATAGATACTATGTTGGTTGATGTTGTGTCTGCTGTGACAATAGATATTAAGTTGGTTGAGTCAATAGTGACGATAGATAAGGTGTAATAATACACTGCACCTCTCCTGTGTCCATAATCATCAGAGTCAAGGCATCTGTGGTGATGGTCAAGTTCACATTTGTTCCTGCATATATCATCTTAGGATGCTCGCCTAATATTTTTACTAATTTCTTGTCCTGAAATACCAAACAGAATCATAATATTTTGTGACACAAACCAACGCTTTTGATATACTTGGGTAAACCAAACAAGTTTTAAAATATAGATGCTCATCAAAATGAAAGTTACAACATTCTTTCTTTGAACTTTTAAACATTTTCTGTAAAATACCTTTTTCTTCTTTGTAGCTGTTTTCAATCCAGCAGCATCACACACCCTACTGATTGACTCCCTGAAAAATATCATTGGAAAACTTAAATGGCTTCCACTGTCTTAAACTCTTACTTTTCTTTTCAAACATCATACTGTCATTCCATGTGTCAATATGGTATCTTATGCAGAAAGCCAGGAACTCAAAATCTTCCTAAACAATAACCTTTGAATTAAATTTTTAATTAAAGAAATGAACGTAACTGACAACTTGGCATGTATCCAGTGAAAATACTGGTCCTTGTCAATGTATATTTATGTGGTATATTTATGTTGGAAATGTCACAGAGTAATAGAGAGTGAATTCGAGTTCATCAAAGATGCCACGAATATAAATTTTATATCATATTTCTACACAGTCAAAAGCCCTTTGGATATAAACATACTTTGAAAGTTAAACATCTCATGTAAAGTACTCAAAACCATACATTTTCATAAAATATTTTGTTCAATCCATTATCTTTGATAACCCTTTATCACAACATGTCATAGCACCATCTATTAATAGATTAATGAATACCCAAAATATATCATAGACTTATTTTTATAGAACACGATAAACATACTTTGCAACAGCAGTTCTTGTTTCAAAGTCCAGTGTCCTCATCGACTGCCTTACTTCCATACACCCCACATACTGGAAAAACATTTGCACAGTATATTAGTTATTTTTTTCATTCAAGGTGTGAACAGTACTATCATAACATTTCCAATCCCTAAAATATTTTCATCTACCCAATATCTGAAATGGGGTATCAACTAATTTTAATATAAAAGCATTTCTGCAGGCATAAAGTTTGATTTTTACTGAAGTTACCTTTTAAACAACAAATTTGTCTTATTGTTTTTCATTAAATATCACAATAAATTCAATGTCACAATTGATCACATGGCACATTCACATGCAAACACCCATTGCAATGGCACAGCTAACACACTTACCAAACCGTGAGCCTATAACTCACTTAACATGAGGTCATAAAACTTACCTCTAGACATAACACACTTACCCTGAGACCATAACAAACACCAGCTTCAGGAGACAGTTGATCATCAGGATGAAGCCATCCTTTTGTTGGTTTGTTTATAAATGTGCCTGTTTTGGACCAATCACTACCTTGTGGAGGCTTGCCTTTCTTTAATAGCTTGTCCATTTTCTAAATAAAAACATTTTAAAAAGTAATAAAACAGGGATTCATGAATTGAGTTTCTTTACATTTATAAATCATTTAATAAATTATTACCTGGATTGCCAATGAGACAATTTTTAAATTTTATATTGTATAACATGGTAATTATATTCATGTATTAGAATGGAAAGGTTTGAAACATGTTTACAGCTTATATATTTCCTGGGGTTTTAGGATTCTCAAAGTGAAATCCTTATCTCTAACCCCCATAAATCATGATATTGTAGAGTATGAAGATTACACAACTAGTGAAAACTCAGGTTGTCATGCCTCAGGTTACAAAAATTTCTGTACATAAATGGAGATAGAAGCTGTGAGATTTTACCAACATTTTACAAGCTTAATTCACAAACAATCTCTAAACATCAGTGTCTGTGATAAATTCTTATTCTACCAAAGCCAGAAAGAGTCAACATATTTTAGAGTTTAAAAAGTCCTTGGTAACTAATGCATGAATAGAGAATTTAAAAAGAAAGAAATGAGTGGAAAACTTGGCAAAAATCAATGACATGTTTGCTAAGAAACTCCAAGGTGTAAGTCTTTGTACTGAGAATATCATTTTTCTGCAGTTTGATAAGATTATGTATAGAGAGCCACAGAACAACGCTGTAGCATAGAGCCGCCCCATGGTGTATCACGTTCTACAGTGTTTTTAATGTACAGTTTTGTGCAGAGAAGATGACATTACGGATACGGATAAACGACCCTAATCTTACGTATCGCACATTTAACATAATTACAGGGTAAACACAATAGGCCACAATGCTTAGCGTAAGTCAGCTGGGTTACGGGAAGTAAGTCGAGTTGGCCTCGTTTGAGGTGATGAGTGACAGCCTTAATTGCCACCTCTTCCTCTACTGATGCTGCTGAGCGACAGCGTTAATTGTCATCTCCCAAGTCCCAGCCGCTTATCTGATTATCTGCCCGACTGCACACAATCATTGTTCATCTATATGGGGCACGCTTTCATGGTATTCGTCCTTTAGATAGTATTTTAGATAGTATTTTCTTTCTTAACGATGTCTTGGTTCTCAAGGCTCAGTTACAATATAAAATATTACTCCTAAAATGGTTTCAATAGACGTTTTTGCTGCGTATATAGCACATAGTTACTTATTTTTTTGCTGTTAATTGTGTTGTAAATTTCAAATTTCCCATGTGTTGTTGATTCTGAATGTTGAAAATAAAGGATCCATAACCCTAAGCCAAGGTCCCTACTACGTTTTGGACACNCAATAAATAAAATAAATAAATAAATAAAAAGTCCTTGAGTCTTACAGGTTGGTTGGACTTGGGAGCAGAGTAGACTGGGAGAGGTGGTATGGGTGGAGCCTGATCAGGTGCTACAGCTCCAGGTCTGTCATTGTAATAGTCCGGGTCATCTCCCCAGGCTGACTCCTCATTGCTGAACACTGGACTCTCTAGTCTTTGAACAAACAGAAACAGGGGTAATGTCATACTTGGTAAGTCAGGGCCGTAGCCTCCGGAGGGGGGGGGGGGGCAGTTAAATAACAGTTAAAATGCACCAGAATGCAGTATTATACATACAGTTTTTAAAAATTTTCCACACCGTGGGAGGGGGACACCCCCCCCTTGGTGGCTTCGCCCCCTCATGTCCGCTTACTGCCCCCCCTGGCAGTTTGCTCAGGCTACGGCCCTGTAAGTACAAGTTTCTTTAGTATATTCGAAGACATTAAATGTGTCCCCAAGGATAATGTGCAAAGAGCAAAAGAACATAATGACAAATGCTAAAGCAAAAACACACATACTTGTCTGGGAGATTCATTGCCTTGGGCTGATTTCTGAGAAACTCTTTAAATCTCAGTTCGAAGGCCTGTCCCATGGTGGTGATGACATCCTGTGCTAGACCTCCCCCGCACTCCAGGATGTGACAGGCACGCCCATTCACAGAGTCCTTGGCTACATAAGCAACAAAGTCCATGGTATCCTATAAATACATAATACATACACTTTCAGTATAACAGGGTACTCACTAAATTAACAACTGAAGATTCAGTTACAAACAAATACACACAACTTCACTTCCTCTCTCTCTTTAAACTAAGAGATATATACATAAAAAAGCTGATCAACCAATAAGCTCCAGTATAAAATTCTATATTTTGCCAGAGTGAGTAACACAATGATATTACTATATTATGTGATAGTGCTACGTATGTGAAGAGTACTTACTGGATCTCCTCCTGAGGCAAAAGATATTCCAGGCATTTCATGGTGTACGAGAATCTGAAAGAATCACAACATTAAGAATCACACTTAGTGTTTAATAAAGTAAAAATAAGACACAACATATACTACACAAATACTAAGTTATGATAGTTTAAAAGTTATAGGTAGTAATTGAAGGAGCAAATTGCTTTTAATATGATACTGTCTTGGGTGAGACATTGTGTTTGCTGTGATGATAGATGCCATTGTGTCTGTTACAACAATAGATGTCAAGTTGGTTGAATCATTGTGTCTGCTGTGACAAAATGTGTCAGGTGGGCTATTGTGTCTGTTGTGAAAAAAGAGATCATATTGGTTGAGGCATTGATCTCTTTTTTCACAATGCCTCAACCAATATGATCTCTTTTTTCACAACAGACACAATGCCTCAACCAATATGATCTCTTTTTTCACAATGCCTCAACCAATATGATCTCTTTTTTCACAATGCCTCAACCAATATGATCTCTTTTTTCACAACAGACATTGTGCCTGTTGTGCTAATAGATACTATGTTGGTTGATGTTTTGTCTGCTGTGACAATAGATATTATGTTGGTTGAAACATTGTCAAGAGTGACAATAGATAAGGTGTAATAATACACTGCACCTCTCCTGTGTCCATAATCATCAGAGTCAAGGCATCTGTGGTGATGGTCAAGTTCACATTTGTTCCTGCATATATCATCTTGGGGTGCTCGCCCAATATTTTTACTAGTTTCTTGTCCTGAAATACCAAACAGAATCATAATATGTTGCAACACAAACCAACGCTATACTTGGGTAAACCAAACAAGTTTTAAAATATAGATGCTCATCAAAATGAAAGTTACAACGTTCTTTCTTTGAACTTTTAAGCATTTTCTGAAAAATACCTTTTTCTTCTTTGTAGCTGTTTTCAATCCAGCAGCATCACACACCCTACTGATTGACTCCCTGAAAAATATCATTGGAAAACTTAAATGGCTTCCATTGTCTTAAACTCTTACTTTTCTTTTCAAACATCATACTGTCATTCCATGTGTCAATATGGTATCTTATGCAGAAAGCCAGGAACTCAAAATCTTCCTAAGCAATAACCTTTGAATTAAATTTTTAATTAAAGAAATGAACGTAACTGACAACTTGGCATGTATCCAGTGAAAATACTGGTCCTTGTCAATGTATATTTATGTTGGAAATGTCACAGAGTAATAGAGAGTGAATTAGAGTTCATCAAAGATGCCACGAATATAAATTTTATATCATATTTCTACACAGTAAAAAGCCCTTTGGATATAAACATACTTTGAAAGTTAAACATCTCATGTAAAGTACTCAAAACCATACATTTTCATAAAATATTTTGTTCAATCCATTATCTTTGATAACCCTTTATCACAACATGTCATAGCACCATCTATTAATAGATTAATGAATACCCAAAATATATCATAGACTTATTTTTATAGAACACGATAAACATACTTTGCAACAGCAGTTCTTGTTTCAAAGTCCAGTGTCCTCATCGACTGCCTTACTTCCATACACCCCACATACTGGAAAAACATTTGCACAGTATATTAGTTATTTTTTTCATTCAAGGTGTGAACAGTACTATCATAACATTTCCAATCCCTAAAATATTTTCATCTACCCAATATCTGAAATGGGGTATCAACTAATTTTAATATAAAAGCATTTCTGCAGGCATAAAGTTTGATTTTTACTGAAGTTACCTTTTAAACAACAAATTTGTCTTATTGTATTTCATTAAATATCACAATAAATTCAATGTCACAATTGATCACATGGCACATTCACATGCAAACACCCATTGCAATGGCACAGCTAACACACTTACCCAACCGTGAGCCTATAATTCACTTAACATGAGGTCATAAAACTTACCTCTAGACATAACACACTTACCCTGAGACCATAACAAACACCAGCTTCAGGAGACAGTTGATCATCAGGATGAAGCCATCCTTTTGTTGGTTTGTTTATAAATGTGCCTGTTTTGGACCAATCACTACCTTGTGGAGGCTTGCCTTTCTTTAATAGCTTGTCCATTTTCTAAATAAAAACATTTTAAAAAGTAATAAAACAGGGATTCATGAATTGAGTTTCTTTACATTTATAAATCATTTAAAAAATTATGACCTGGATTGCCAATGAGACAATTTTTAAATTTTATATTGTATAACATGGTAATTTATATTCATGTATTAGAATGGAAAGGTTTGAAACATGTTTACAGCTTATATATTTCCTGGGGTTTTAGGATTCTCAAAGTGAAATCCTTATCTCTAACCCCCATAAATCATGATATTGTAGAGTATGAAGATTACACAACTAGTGAAAACTCAGGTTGTCATGCCTCAGGTTACAGAAATTTCTGTACATAAATGGAGATAGAAGCTGTGAGATTTTACCAACATTTTACAAGCTTAATTCACAAACAATCTCTAAACATCAGTGTCTGTGATAAATTCTTATTCTACCAAAGCCAGAAAGAGTCAACATATTTTAGAGTTTAAAAAGTCCTTGGTAACTAATGCATGAATAGAGAATTTAAAAAGAAAGAAATGAGTGGAAAACTTGGCAAAAATCAATGACATGTTTGCTAAGAAACTCCAAGGTGTAAGTCTTTGTACTGAGAATATCATTTTTCTGCAGTTTGATAAGATTATGTATAGAGAGCCACAGAACGACGCTGTAGCATAGAGCCGCCCCATGGTGTATCACGTTCTACAGTGTTTTTAATGTATATGTATGCAAATTTTCTACGTTAATGAAAATTCAAGGAATCATATATTCAATCAGAAAATCTAAGTAAACCTACCTTTAATGCAGTCAATCTCTATACGAAAAAATAATAACTTTTCAATTTTATCGCTCCCCTTACATGATTCATAATTCGATAATGACACAGACACTAATCTTGTAGCGGGAAGTCACGTCAAAAGAAAAACTCCGTGAATAACTCCTATTCAACCAAACAATGTGTAAAAAGACTGTGAAAGTATTGATAGTTGGAGACATTAGAAATGGAATCTAATGAGCTGAGACCAATATTAAAGCACTCATGAATAGCTTAACAAAAATACCACACCCTTCAATATTATTAACACCTGATATTATGAGACATACCTTAGAAAGGTGCCCCGAGTTCGTAAAGCAGGAAGTATTTTCTGTATCCCTCTTATGCGCAAGCGCATAGTGATACTTCCTGTTGAATATTTCACTTCATAAATTCAAATTATGTATGTAGCATAGTAAAATTAGAAAAAAAATATATTGAACTTTGTAATACTTAATAAGTATTCTCTAGTGCACTTCTGTTTTTCCTTTGATTTTAGTATTCTTGACTTTAAAGAAAGTCGTATATTGACCAATCACAATTCAAGGAGGATGTCACGTGAAAAAGAGGCACCTCATTCAAATCTGGAGACAGCAGACTATCGGATCTCTGCCGACTAATCCAGTACGGTTTTTCAACATTATATCTTTAAAATGTCTACCAAACAAATTTATTACTCTGATAAGTATTATGATGACGAATACGAGTACAGGTAAGGGCTTTTTTTTTCAACTCAGAGTGGAAATGGATGAATTTCATTGAATGATTTTAATTCTGTAAGTGTAAATTTAAAGGGGCATGTTTTATTCAATAATCAAATGCTAAAGAGTAAACGGGTTTGGCAGGGCAAATGATTCTGCTATCCAAAAATCCCGTTTAATGAATAAACACATAAGTCTAATTCGGATTCAACAGTATTTTCTGTTCCCATAATAATTACTTTTTGTCTAACAACATGCATGCTTGAATTTTTATTTGGCCATTTTTATTGGCATTCTGTGTAGTGCAGGCAAGTGTATTGGTACTTTTGCGGTATAACCCCCCACTCTGTTAGTCTTTGAGTATCACCTTCACTTTTTGTCTGAGATAATTTATTAAGTGACACACCATGACTTTAGGCATCCAAAAAAATAACAAATAAATAAAATAAAATAAATACAATGGATGAGATGGTTTTGATAGAAACCCCAAGCCCATTCAAATAGTATGAAATTGGTGTCAAAACAGAGTTGAAATTAAAATTCAAAGAAATTGAAAGTGTACTAAAAAACATCCAAAATTAGCAAATTTCCAAAGTAATTTATTAGCATAGCAGAGATATTAATTGATCAAAAATATAGATGGATTTTAAATATCATAAAATACATTGAAAATCAGATAGTCTTGAACTAGATAGGAAGAAATGCTACAAAAGTACCAATAAATCAATGTTTTTTTATCAATAATATATTGATACAAGTTAATATATTGCATAGATGTAAAACGTCTGAAGTTTGCTTTACTTCTGCAACAGTCATAAGAATTTAAATGTATAAAATATGAGTAAATTAGAATATGTGCTCTCCCTTAAATTACTATTTATTTGTGATAAAACTGTGTTCCTTTAAATTGTAGGCATGTTATGCTACCACGTGATATTGCAAAGCTTGTTCCAAAGACCCATCTGATGTCGGAGGCTGAGTGGAGAGGTCTAGGAGTACAGCAAAGCCAGGGATGGGTGCACTATATGATGCATGAACCAGGTAATTTTTTAGGGCACAGGGCTATGCATGACCATCGGCGTTACTTACCAAGTGCAAGTGATATCTGTAATCAGGCAACTAGGATTTAAATTGTACTTGCCTGCAAACACAAGTGCCTTGCTAATGGTGCCCTCAAGAAAATCTGATCAAAACAGCATCTTTTTTTTTTCTTTAAGATTTTATGTCTTTTGATTATTGATTCCCCACCCACCACCTTTTTAATATTTGGAGTGGGGCAAGTAGATTGTGAAAATTACTTATAGTACCTAAAAATAGTTTGGCATGCCCTGGGCCAGGATTGTAGGGTGGGGTTTGTGCCAAACTCTTATAACCTGATGTTATTTCTTAGCTTTCAAGGTTATAAAAAATGCCCTAGCCCTTCTATGATGTACATCATTATTAACTTGAAAGTTAATGTTTAATTACTTATGATAAGACTATTGACAGGTGTGAATTATAGGGACTATTATGTTATACTTGATTTTTTATGATTGTATCATATATGGTATACATTTATTTTGGAAAATTTTACTTTCCAGAGCAACACATTTTACTATTCCGGCGACCAGTACAGAAACCATTGCAAGAGAGCAAACAACAGAACTGTTGATGTGTATATTATGGTGGATAAAAAGACTGAAAAAACTAGGAAGTATATTAATTGTGTATGAGTTGAACAGTGACATTGACTGCAGTGTTAATGACTTCACAAATATATACACCATCTGTGTTCACAGACTACCGAGTTTGTTAACTACACTGTAATGCAACAAAAAAATTAATGCAATGACACTGAAAGAAACCACAAATCCCCCATTTGATGCTGAATACGACTGAACAACACATGGATGATTGACTAGAAAAAAAAAAGAGTATTCAGCCCCAATTAACATCTCTGGAGTTGTTAACAGAAGATTGGTTGAAGAATGTGCAATTGTGCGTTGATTGTGCTAAAATGTGTGAAAGGAAATACTGGGGATGTCAGAAAATTAACAGGGAATGGTTTCTTGTAATAACATGCAGTTAGTTATGACTAGCATGTTACTCGAATGTTACTATGATCCACTCTGCCAAAAGTTCAGATTTACCTTCAGGGAAGGTATGCATTATCTGGCATTTGTTTGTTATTAAATCTGTTTTAGAACATTGTAGTGTCAGTAGTAGATAGTTACAGTACTTACTGTTGTTATATTTATAGCTGTATAGTTTACTCTGATTAAATGTATGCACTTTTCTGAGAAAATACCAAGAATGTTTCAAATATCACTCCAGCAGAGCTTAGTAGTATATTTCCTCAGGATATCAATTTAATGTAAAATGAATCCTTTCATATTGGAGATGGGGAGGGGGGGATATATTTTCCAAAGAAAAGCTTTTTCTTTTTACTTCACCATATATTCTGTTTATAAACTGGTGACTAGAATTTGTTTGCATTGGGGGAGAGGGGGGGGGTCCAGATTGGAAGTTGCTATTAAATTCAGGAAATGCAGGGAATAGACATACTCATTTATCATCATTGTTTTATAATTTGTCATACTACATTTGTCAATAAATTTCTAAAATAATAACTGATAAAATTGTTTGACTTGTTACGATTGATATTTATTTCATTTTCACTTTATGTTTCTTGTAGACAATATTTTAAAAATGCAAACTGTTTGGATAATACTTTCCATGATTGAGCAACAAAAATGTACAATTATTGTGAAATATGCATCAATATGATTGTATATCACAGGACATAAACAAAAGTTGAGCAATGAGAGTTCCATCATAGGAAAAAATTACGAATACTGATGATTGTCTTTACCTCCAATATCACTTACTATACTACTAACAAAATAGTGGCAAGTGCACCATAAACAAGTTCTTGAAAGACATACCGCTTCAACAAAGGAGATGCATAGATGAGATGTGAACACACTTGGAGAATAACTAATCAGAACATGGCACGATGAGAGGACATACGAACTCCGAGTGCCTAACACCCAGAGAGTGTTTGGGAGGTGTTGGTTTGTGTACAGTGACACGCTCAGGCCGATGAGCACCTGGTCCTGGTTTAACTGTAGTATCACCTGGCATATAGTGGCGAGACTGGAGTCCATAGATTGGAGCTTTGTTTCTCCAGGTGTTTGGATTGAGAGCGTCATAACGTCCAGGGCCAGGGGTTTTTGATAAGTCCTCAGCAAAATGGCCAACATTCCTTCTTGCTGTCATGGAATAACTTGGATATGACCTCTTGTTTGGTTGAGCAGGGCCAATGAGTTGAGGAAGAGAGTATACATTGGAAGCAGGGTTCTTGTCACTTTTTCTGAACCGTGTACGGGCACCCATTGAGTAAACTGGAGCATGCTTTTCTCCTTGTGGATGAGCTTTTTCATTTTCATACCGTCCTGGGCCTGGGGTTTTGAAAAAATCTGAAAAACAGAAGGATTGCCAATGAAAATATTTTCTATCTTAAAAAAACAGCAATGCTTAAAATGTTGTTCTTATAGTGATCAAAATTATTATAAAAGGGGTTCATATATTCATGGCCTATTTCAATGTGACAAGGGTCATTAGCAAGATGAATTGTGTGTGTGTGTGTATATATATATATATATATATATATATATATATATATATATTTATAAAATAGTACTCCTTTTATGAAATTGTGCTAGTATCTAGGACATTATTTTGGTATGTTATACTAAAAACAGAGCAATAATATGTAATGGGAAGTGCTTTTGTGATGGTCGATTGATTTGTGTTAGGGTTCATTCGTGTTTGGTCTGAAGTCTCTTTTGGTTGTATGCAAGAGATGAGTTGTTCGTGTGTCAGGCCTTGGGAAAGACTTTGATCATGTGTCTTCAGATATAATAAAGCACTTCCAACAAAACTGTCAGTTTTTATTTGAAAAAATTAAGCCACTGTGACAGTTATAACTTATATTGTAAACATTTAATTGACTTACTTGGATCTTTTGGCCTGGCTAGCATGGAGTATGATGGAGTGCCATCTTTCCCGTGTCGTGTGTGTCTTGGATCAATGAAGTGGGCAGGTCCAGGACTGCAGTCTTTTGCCACTGAAAGAAAACAATGAAAAAATAATGCATATGTCATGGAGTCAGTTATAGTTTGATAGTCTGCATTTGTGAATATCAGCAAATATGAAACTGGTCATTTTTTAATTATTGCATAATGTGAAATCGTGCAGTAAAATATATAATATGTTAAAATAATCCAAATTCCTTTAAGTCAGCCTGTGGTTTATGGCACATATGATGATTTTTTGTAAATTAAGGTGATTGACTTATACTAATGTATAAACAACTGTTTGCCAAGCCATGGATAGATAGGCAGATGATAGTTTTTTTTTATTAAAATGACATGCATCTCTAAACAAAACAAGAATTATAATTTTAATTTGCAAGAATAATAATAATAATTTATACTGGTATGTCACACAGGTAAATCAGTTTATTATATGAATGACACTTACTCAAACTACCAAGCCTTTGTCCAAAGGAGTGTGCAGGTTTCATATGCTTTGTAAAATCATGGTCTATGTATCCCAATGTCGAGGGAAGGCCATATCGTCCTGGTCCAGGTCCTTGTAAAATGAAAATGATATGTGGATAAAATAAGTCCATTCTTTTTTTTAAAAAAGCAAGTACTAGTACTATACAACAGCAGTGAACTATACAGCAATTAACATTTTCTTGTCACACCTATAATAATAATAATAATAATAATAATAATAATAATAATAATAATAATAATAATAATAATCAGAATTGAGATACATCCTTTGTTAAAACGTCAAATGTATTATATTATTCAATATAATCTTGCAAAACTCACCTCTCTCTCTGGCTGCTATAATAATTCCTTTGCCTGATTTCCCTGTTGTTTGCTCATTTTCTTGTCTAGCATCTTTTTCTGTTTCCATTTTTAAATCATACACGCTGTATCTCTGGTCTGTGTATGATCTCCTGCAACCTGAAGCTTCTGTTCATTTAATGCCAATAAAAACACACGTGTATCTATTTACGGGAAATAATAGTGTCTCCAATGACGCCAAACATAGCAACGTAACAACCACCGAGAGGTGGCTACATAAACATGGGCGTGAAAATACGAGACCTCAAGAGGAGCCATGAAAACATTTTTCATTTCCGGTTTAAGCACTGGTAAGTCGAGTCACCTGACGGAAATAATACAATTTACTGCTAATGTGCTAATTTTAGACAATAAATTTGCTCTTGTCCAATCTTTGAGTTTGGTTTCAGAGGTTCCAAAGCATATTTTGTCGATAGCAATAAAACTTAACGGTGTTTGCTTGGTTCCAGAACAAAAGTGTATATGTTTTTATCCCATGCTAACATTGGACACGCATTCATTGCTGACTAATGAGTAATAATGTGTGTAGTGAAATTATTCCTCCAAGTAAACTCTACATAGACTGTATATACTGGTGACAACTTTTTTTTTTTCATTTCATTTTGTAGCTACCTTTGGGAACTTTTTCAAGTCATATTATGAGCTATAAATAACTCACGTGTGAAATGTAAAAGAAAAAACCCTGAGCTGCCAAAATGGGTGATATATTACATTCCCAAGAATACCAAAGCTTTAGAGCAAGTGTGCCGCAGAAAAGGGTAAGATGATGAGTTAATTGTTTCCCACTGACAGTATTACCTTATGAGATAAAATTCATTACATAAGTCTATCTTTACAATAATACAACAAAATAAGTTTATTTCGTGTTGGAAAGAATGAAAGAACAAACATTTGCTGAATAGCTATTTACTGACAGACTCAAGTTTTTTTTTTTTAATTTAAAAGTCTATTCAAGCTTTTGAACCTGGTTGTTTTGTTTAATGTAACAGTTGTATGTTATTATTATTCTCTCTCTTTCTCCCTCTCTCTCACTGTGTGTATGTGGTTTGACTTAATCTCCTTGAAGTACAATGAAGTATTCCACTTACCAGGTAGCTGTAGATGATGACCCCAGTAAGGTGTGGACTATCTATGATGCTGGTCCCAAGAACGTCCGCTGTCCACTGATATGTATGCCTCCAGCCAGTGGTACAGCAGATGTCTTCTTCAGGCAAATCCTGGCTCTCACGGCAAAAGGATACAGGGTCATTGCAGTATGTACTTAAACTGATTTGTGTTTTGTCCTGTCGAGCAATGTCCATGGTGTCTAAGCTGTTTACTAGGAAAGAAGTGCATGTAAAATCACAAAATCACTTGGTGCAGTTTTAGAGAATATAAATGATAGCCACAAGTGTTATTCTAACTTAAGGAGAGTATTTTCTAGTCTAAGAAATCTGTAACAATGTAGAAAAGAAAAAAGATGTGTGTTTATATTTTGTATCATTTATGCATAAATCAAACAAAATATTAAAAACAGTATATTTTCTCTTCTAGGTGGAATATCCTACTTACTGGAAGATGAAGGAATTTTGTGAAGGATTCAGGAAGCTTCTGGATCAGCTGCAACTTGATAAGGTTAAGTATTGTTTTACAGCTTGGTAGAGTGAAAAATACTTTTGACAAATTGAGGTACCATCCCTCTGATATAGGGTCCTGATTGAGCACACGTTTCAGAAATTGTAGGTTCAACCCTTCAACCCTTAACTGTTTGTCTTATACCTTTCAGGTTCATATATTTGGTGCTTCTTTGGGGGCTTTCCTAGCTCAGCAGTTTGCCCAGTACACACACATTTCTCCACGAGTCCACTCCCTCATCCTGTGCAATTCTTTTGTAGACACCACAGTGTTTCAACAGACCAATTCAGCCCCCTTGTAAGTGCTCTTTATCTAATTTGTTTTCCTGTGATTAGGCTAAATTATGTGATGTTTATTTACGTAAATTTAGGCCACCAGCCTATATTACATTACATTACAGTAACAGGAGTCAAATTTATGCCTTCTATATATCCCTAAGTTTGAAGCACTCATACACATACATTGACAAGTTTGTTAAGAGAGTTGCATCTTCAGATTTCATGAGCTTATTAAAGTTGAATACGTTTACCTGAATGCTGGGAATATATTTGGCTCTGTAGCCATTATATCGTGGACACACAAGCACGAAATGGTACTCGTCCTCTATGTATGCTTCATTATAAGCGTTGCAGCAGAAATCACAATGTCTAAATTTGGGCTAAATTAATTTCGTTTGATTGTATAGCATGAAAAGATATTTATCTGACTCTCAAGCATACAGACAATTACAGGTGATACATTGAGATGATATTGGTGATATTTTCCAGGTACTGGATGATGCCTGCTATCTGGCTCAAGAGAATGGTGATGGGCATTTTTGCTCAAGGAGTTGTAGATGGTGACATTGCAGACTCTATTGACTTCATGGTGACCAAAGTAAGTCTTCAACATAACAAGGAGTATTCTAATGTTGAGGGTTTGAATCTAGTTACCGATGTGGCCATCAAAAGTTGAAAAGTCATGCACTGGTGTGTTTGAAGAGTGTTATATATATTACTGTGTGGAAGAGATAAAAGAAAATTATTTGAAAAGTTGATAACAGTTTTATCTGATGTTTATTGACATTTATTCACTGCAGGATAAGCCCTAAAACTTGACAAATGTGCTTAGCAGGTGTTATCAAGTACTTCCGCATTAACATTTATTTTTCATAGTCTTTATTTTTAAATTTTTTTACCTTAAATTCCTATTTCTGTAGTCAAACTTTAATTTTACATATCTTTTAATTATTCTTATATGTAAATTTTATTACTTTTGTATTTTGTAATGTCTACTGAACATTTTATGTATTTGAGACTTAGTATATTTAAAAATATATTTTTATTATTATTGCAGCTAGATAGTCTTGACCAGCAGTCACTGGCAGCCAGATTAACATTGAATTGTATGAACTGTTATGTTGAACCACAGAAGCTGCAGAATGTCAACATTACACTGATGGATGTGAGTGTATCAAATTACAGAAAGCCATCATGCATTAAAACAAAACATTTTAAGTTATGTTGTATGAACCATTGAGGTAATAATGTTTCTTTCTTTTAATTCGTTTGGACCTTTTTCACTCATCTTCACTGCATGTTTAAAGTGTACATTTAATGTCTAATTTCGTGACACATTTCATTTTTCAAGGTGTTTGATGAATGTGCCTTGTCAGATTCTGTGAAAGAAGAAAACTGCAAATATTATCCAGATGCCAAAAGAGCTATTTTAAAAAGTGGTGGTAATTTCCCTTACCTGAGCAGGAGTGAGGAGGTCAATGTCTTTATTCAGGTAAGGATTGTTACATTTTTTTTTTTTTTTGCATTTCCCTTCTAGCATGGATATACAATGTTATCTTCATTTACAGAAAATTTGTAGAGCCCGCTAATTTAATGTATTCTAATTTCAGATCCATTTAAAGCAGTTTAATGCCACCAGATTCAGTGCCATGGATCCAGAATACGACCCTCTCGCCAATGTGGATATCACACAAGTGCCATCAAAGCCGAGTGATTCCAGGACAACTGATGATGATGACACAGAGAGTTGAGAAATGAACTCAAGTGTTGAGATACCAAACTGTTGGATTTAGTACTATAAAATACAAAATAAGATTGTGATCTGTTATAAACTGTATGAAGAATACAGAATTATGTGCTGTGATTAAAAAGGGGGATACTGAAACAAACAAGTGCACAGTAATCCAAGATAAATTGTACAGAAAGTTGAGTACAAGATTGCCAATTAGATAATAAGGTTGATGTATGCTGGAAATGAAAACCAGAAATACAGATAAAGTCTAGGCGATCTTTCTATTTTAGATAAATTTGAAAAAAAGAAAAAAAAAACACCTTATGCAGCCATCAATATTTTAATACAATGTGATGCAAAGATGCACCTTACCAGCTTATTACATTATGCACCATGTTCTTTCACTGTTATTATTATTCAAATATAGTTTATCTGTTTTTATCCTATCAAAGAGACTTGCTTCTGTAAAGACATGTATATAAAATTATTCATTAATTAAAGCAAGTCGCCCATTGGCTTGGCCCGATTGGTGGCTTCATCTTGCTTTCAAATGAGATTCATTTAATAAGACATTATTATGAAACTTACAAATTATGGATTAAATCATGTTGAATGTTGGTTATGGAGAAAAAATATTTTATTACATTGCAATATATTTCACTTTGCATATCTACATTTTTTTATGAGGGTAAATTACTTTGGAAAATGGGTATTGCTGGGTGGTTAATGTAGCAAACAGTAAAGCCATCCTTGTCCCATTTAAGTTGTCTGACTGTCATTTGAAAACACATAATGCCAAGATTTGATTCCAGAAATAAATTAATTCCCAGAAGTTTTTTATTGAAAGCACAATCACTGATCTGACTTCCAAGAACAAGAATTTTGCATTGTTACATATGTACACATTGTTATCAATGAATAAAGATAAGCAAAGAAACATCAAATCACTTCTGCATATTTTAAGATAGTGATTCTTTGGAAAAAAAAAAGGCCAAGTGCATGTTGTAATATATGAAATTTGCTGCGTTGGAAACTAAAGTGAAGCTGGTAGAAGTCGGTACAAAAATCATGAATGATAACCAAGTACTTCAATATCTTATTTGCCAATTCATCAAAGAACCACAGTGAATGAACTTGAGGGTGTTATTTGTCATGTTGATATATATCTCATCCTTGCCTTTTTCAAAAGTAGCACAAATGATGACGTCCTCTTAGAAATCTTCGATACAAAATTTTTCTTCCATTAATTGTGCTTAGTCTCTTTTTCCATCCATGCTTATTACTTCTCTTAATTGCACTAGGTCTGTAAAAAGCCCTTCTCTTTCTGTGCCACTGCCTCATAGGAATGCATACAGAAGGACTGCTCTGTAGAATGCTGGGATATACAGCTGAACTCCCTTCTCTCTCTGCACACATAGACCCTTGTAGTAATGTCCTCCCGACAGCAGCCTGTGTGAATTTTTTTGTGTTGTAAACAGGGTTTGCCATTGCAGGATTCCGTAGTACAGTGTTGCTTACAGTTGAAACCAAAGTTCTGCCTGTGCTAAAAACTGGATTCGCAGCAATACCTTGCAGTAATATCTTTTCAGTTAAGTCACTTGAAAAACATCTGAAATTGGTAAAACAAAATCTTCACCACGTTTTGACAAAAGCAATTATTTCATCAAGATTTTCATTTTTTCTGGAATACGTAAGTGATCACAGGAAAGGAATCAGGCTTATTGGTCATGAAAAAAATTAGAAACTCTGGGCACTTACCGTTGCGTTGTAAAAGACACCAGCTTCGGTAAAATACGTGAACGAAGCAAGGACATTACAGAATTCATCTGATTCATGTTGGTCGTATCTCTCGCTGCTTCAATATTGCTCACGAGGTGTCGCGTGTACTCAAGATAACATTCATTTAACGTTTACTAATTATAAGAAAGCTAAGATTATTTGTCAATGCTGCGTTTGCTTTTATTTTGTATTTAGTATATAAAATGGTTTCAATCACAATTGTTTTGACCCCTTTTCAATAGTAACAAGACACTTATGATATATCTGCTCTTGGTTAACAGCGACACCTTTTAACATTAATCAAAATAAGAATATTCATGCGCAAGAAGATGCACAATGAGTTATGTCAAATATGTTAACTTATGAAACAATAAATTATGATTTAATAGATTGATTACTTCAAAAGTTTATCATGTCACCTGAAATTGTGTAAATTTACACTTTTCAAAAATTAGCAAAAGTTTTGTTTTCAGTGCGTAACAGGAAGTTGGTGGTATGTTGTGCGGCTACAGGAGCAAGTGTTTGGATGGTTACTAAATGCCACTTATCATACCGGGAGAATGTATTTGACATGTAGTTGCACTTCAGAAGTACAGTGGACGGCAATGGTGATTTTGACCAAAGGAAGTCAGCTTTCTACTTGTGATGTCTTATCAGCATAACTAGTACAAAACCAAACGACATTTGGTAAGTACGTTAGATGTAACTTAATGGTGTACATTGTAAGTGATCAAAACAAATAGAATTTATTGATCAAACGATCGAATTAGTGAAATAAAGAAACAGATGCAATAAATACATATCATAGAGTTGACAGCTACAGCTGCAAATGTTCTATTTGACAAACATCAATGACATCATTATCATAAATGCTGTTCATGTTAATCAATAGTTACAGGTACATGTAAATCAATATATACTTGTCTATTGGTAATATTGAGCATTACTGGCAAGTACTAGTAGTTTAAGTCTTGCTAAAAAGTTGAGAAAAAGGGGCTTGATTTCAGATAAGTGTGAGTTTAGTTCCTTTAATTTTTTTTAAATATTGAGTATGCTACCAGCATTCTGAATATATTGACTCTTTTGCAAGAGTATGAAAGTAATGTCTTCAGCCCCAGGAAAGGTGGATTTATCCTTTCATGTTATTTGGTAAATGTAATGCCATTGAATGAAAGTCAGGGGTTCTGAGTGGCAGGGGCGGATTTAGGCCGTATTCTGGGTCTTCCAGAAGACGGTCAGATTTTCAAATTTACATTGACGGGTATCCTTTTTTTCCTGTTGGAAGACGGTCAAAATTGGAGGATGAATCAACAAAGATAATTTGGAAGACTCTCAGTAAATAGTTCTGGATCCGCCCCTGAGTGGAGTGGATCTTATTTACCATGATTATCCTTTATAGATGTGAAACTTACCGGTAGGCCATAGGGGTTATTCCTTATGTAAGCATTCCTGTTATGGTTTTATATATGTGTTATAGCATGGAAGCTATCAGTATAGATAACTGTAAAAATCACCATTAGCTAGTGTGTTTACCCTGATGCCCCAAAATTTGTCATAATTTGACATTGTTGTGGAAAAGATATGATTTGGCTACTTTTCTATTAGCCATAAAATCACTCACCTGTTGAAGAGCACCATTACCAGGCTACAGAAAGAATCCATCAGCACATATCTAACCAGAACTATCATCATCACTCCTTGTATATGTGCCGTATATTATAGTATATAAAGAAAAACTTAAATTGGAATATTTCCACATAACTTCTGTGTTACGGTTGGTAGGGAAGGGTACAGATTTTTAGAGAGTAGTTTCTTTTCAAGTTCATTAAATTTTTCTGTGATTTTACTAGTTATTCTTCAGAAGAATGACATTTCATATTGAAATGTTGGTAGATTTATCACATGGGTAGTACTTAGAAATTTGTTTTGCCAAAGAAATGAATGGAAATTAAAAATGGTCAACTGAAACTTTATTTATTTTATCATACTATTTGCATATAAGCAGTCAGTATTTAATGTGTGTGTAGAAGCTTACAGACAGGAAAATGTGGAAGAAAAAATTTTCTATTTTCATTTTTTTTTTATCTTTTAAAATGATATTCATAGAGGAACTGACATTGGAACCCCTCAGATTTTGTCACCTGGTCATTGTTTTAATTAGAATTAATAACTTTATAGATCGTTTCCCCATCCCCCCCCCCCCCCCCCCAGTACATTGATGGATGCACTTTAATTTCAGAGCTTGGCTAAAGAAGTTTCTACAAATCATTTGTTAAATGGATATGGATTTGTAAAGACTAAAAAGAAAATTTATTTTCTAGTTAAATAACCTACATATTTATACAGCATTCCAGTAAAGCAAAATAGATAATGAAGAAAGTTTTTTTATATAGGAAAAAGGAAACATTTATTTCCTGTCAACTTGGTTGTGCTTTTCATGTTACTGATTTTCCATTCCAACATCTTATAAATATTAATTCAGAAAATGGCATTACAATTTTAATGTCAATTTTGGTATGATTTACAATGGGCAATGTTTTTGTAGCCATAACAGTATTTTAAAATAATATGGATGCTTTTTTTTCCTAACTGAATTCTTCAGTAACACCCTCTACATGCCTAAAGATGCATGCATGAATTCCCAGTCTGACTCAGTAATGAGAAAAATAAGTATTGCCCTTTTAAAGTTATGATAGCCATTTTATTGAACTTTTATGTTAAGCTTATAATAATGCCTTTTTCTCCATTCATTTTATGTCTTAACAATTATATACATGTAAATATGTTACTTTAATTTTTAATGTCCTTGCATGATGCTGAATACCTACAAGGAGTCAACTTTCTTTCTGTAAAATTACAGTACTGTGCTAATTGGATAATCTTAAGTATTTGGCAATTATTTTACATGCTTAGACAAGCAGTGGATTATGAGAATTTTCAGGATTTAAATTTCTCATTTCTTATGAGTTGAAAGTGTTATTTTGTTGGTATGCATACAAACTGTTAGAAGCAACTTATTTCTTAGAGGAAAAAGCTATGGGGTATATTTTTCCTGCTTGTAAATGGATTCATTTTTATTGTCAGTAAGAATAGAAAAACTTGCCATGAAATAGGCTTCTATACATTTTGACAAAAAGCAATTAAAAAAAATGCACTTTTGTTTCATTCATTTTGAACAATGCTCTTGTTAATTAGTTATATGCTATTATAACCTGCTTCTACCACAGTATTTACAATCTTATGGATGGTTGCCATGTAATTACACTTTAATCTTTCTCATCTCACAATATAATCATGTAGAACAAATAACAGTTATGTGAAATGATATTGAAAAGCCCCGGTAATAGATCTGTAATCAGTCATTACAACTGGGGACACAGTCATGGATTGACTGCATATTACAGTTGACAAGGGTAATTGCTGGGATATTGATCTTAACACTAAAAATGGAGGAACCCTTCACCTTAGTTGACAGCACACCATTCATCACGGATCAATTTGCAGCATTAAGTTAACACGCTTTTCATTTTTTTCTTCATACATATTTGGCATTTGGTTCCCTAATAAATAAATGTCTGCAAGACATGAAGAATTGATTTGTGTGTCTATTTTCAGACAGAAAGCCAGCAGGGAATCCAAGGATGAGACACAAGGGAATGGAAATGACTTATCTACACAGTGTAGCCTTGTTTGTTGTTGACCTGGAACATTGCTGTCTGTGTAGGCTTGGCATACAATGCCTGCTGTAGAAAGCTCAGCCAATCATCCGCCAGACCCAGGGGGTCACACGGCAATGCCCAGGGGTCAGTCCTCTGACCCAGGGACACAACTGACCAACTGTGGTTGTCTACAGAGGCGTCATCATCGCGTAGTTCCAGAACCTTTCCATGGTGAAAGATTTAACCGTATTGAAATCCGTCCAAATAGGTGGCTTCGCATCCGCCATATTAATCCCAGATCCAGGGATAAAGACTTTGAGAAAGAATATGAGACATTTCTTGAATGTCAGAGATTGGGGCGACCGTACATTCCTAAAGGATCTCCAGCATATAGCATGAAAAATGGCAGGGAACCGCAATACCTAGCCAATGGCAAGTGGAAAAAAACTAGTCATACAGTTGAAGAACACCCTTTTTCTCCATACGCCGGGAATCAGCAGGCAATTAGTATTGACGATGGAGCAGAAAATCAAAATAATTCTTTACAGCATCCAATGGTTGCGACTTTAGAGGGGCAACAAGTTGACAACTCTGAGAGTAGAGTTGCTACTGCTTCTAGTGTTAAAATCACTGAAAACAATGTCCCTGGTTCTATCAGTGATGACTCAGCAATTCAGAGTTTTATAGAATATAACACCACTTTATCTTCTCATACAAGTGTCACAAAGATGAAAATGAATGAGGATGGAATAGTTGACAAAGCACGGCATCCAAAGCTAGAATCTCAAGATAAAACATATTTTGTCAGTTCACCAGGAGACCCTGTCCTCAGCACTCAGAGCTCCACCAGTCACGAAACCACTCCACCTGTGATGAGAGTTGACACCAAAGGAGAAGTGACCAGTCATGGAGCTGTGTTGTTTTTCATTCATGGGGTGGGAGGCTCCTCAGATATCTGGCAGGCACAGCTAGACTTCTTTGGAGATGAGGGCTATGAAATCATTGCTCCAGACATGTTGGGGCATGGGTTTAGCGGAGCACCAAACAATGCCAAGGACTACAGCTTTCAGGCTCTGCTACAAGACATGCTGGCTGTGTTTGATAAGTTTTGCAAGAAACACAATGTTCTCATAGGACATTCATATGGGTATGTGTCAAGTAATGAAATGATCCTTGATGTATCTTTTTAACGGGTTGTAAAGTACAATACAGATACTGATTTTTATTTATGTAATTTGTTGTTTACATGCAACCTCTGTATGGAAGGCTGTTGATGTTATTAGTCAACACATTGTATATTGATTAAAACAAAAAGAAAAATTACTCTGCATTATTTTTTGTAACGGTTGGTGTAAAAGGCTAAATTATTAATTCAAACTTTGACGTAATTAATTGTTCTCTGTTGCACTTAGAAGTAAATCAATACATGAATGGGAAAAAAAAAAGATATTGATGAAGTACACTGGATTGCGGAGAAAAAGACTGGCATAATGATTAATCAAATTTATCTAGATAAACTTTGCAAAAAAAGTTTTTTTTAATCTGTTGAAGGCAAAGTTTTGGTGGTTGCCTTCACTTTTTTCTTTCTTTTTTTTTCTTTTTGTTTTTTGCCATTCCAAAACATCAATGGGGCCTTAAATGGGAGAAAGTAATATCTGAATTGATCTCACTTGTTGTGACATTTGATAATATATTGATTAGATAAAGCTGATTGTCCAGCAAATAACTAATATGTCTATATTGTTACAGTACTTCCTTTGCCACAGCCTTAGCCAAGAAGCGTTCTAGGTGGACGTCAAAATTGATATTGATAAACGGTGGAGGGCCCACGCCCCTGGCCCCGCAGCCAGGAGTTTTCCAGTGGCCAACATGGATGTTAGCATGTATCAAACCTATCCTTGTCTGTGGATTTCAGAAGTTAGTTATTCTTACTGTTGTCTGTATTTTTTTGGTTTTTGTGCAGTAAAATTTAACAATGTAATGCAGTTCTATATTTTTGAATATTGAAAAAATTTGTTTTTTACAAAATATAAATCTAGTTATGCATTCCACATATAAAAAGAACAACTAAAGAAAATTGTCTCCATGTGTTGTTGAATATGGACAAATTTAAATCACAAAGCAATGTTTTTAATTTTTTACAGAAGTGCATTTCATAAAGAAAGCAAGAAAACCTATGTCCCTAAAGAGAAGGCATTAGACGTCCCCACTTACATCTTGAAGCACATGATGAATGGTCAGGTTTGGCCCGAGGGCAACGCAGAGTTCCACCAGTGGCTGAATGTACCAACACTGCTCATATTTGGACAGGATGACCAACTGGTCAGTCTGGAGGAGGAGATTGAAATGAATATGGTAAGATGCCCTAAATAGCAAGCTGTCACACCTGATGCATTTCTGTGGCACAGCTAACACATTTATGTGGCACACCTGACACATTTATGTGGCACAGCTAAAACATTTATGTGGTACAGCTAACACATTTCTGTGGTACACCTGACACATTTTGTTTATTTTAATACAATTTTGCCAGGCAACATTTGACATTCAGTTGTCTCATTTCATGACAGTCTGTTGTGTTCAGTTTATGTGTGGGTAGACTTTAGGTAATATGCATTTTTTCCAATGTTTTAAACATAATATCACAGCATTATCCTAATTTCCATCAGGAAACATCAAACTCATTTCATGGTAGTTACTTTTTATTAATATTTTGTTATTTAAAAATATGATTCATTTGTTTTGACAAAATAGGGTTCATTTAAATATTTTTGGTAAATATATATGTTGACTCTGATAAATTATGTGTTGGAGTAAATGTAGTCATTACAATATACAAATAAAAATACTGAAAACATTTGTTTTTTTTTCTTTTAGGTTATCTATGGATCAAAACTAGAGGTGATAGAGAATGCCAGTCACATGGTGATGATGGAAAAACCTGATGAGGTCAGTCAGTTGATTTATGACTTTCTGCTCCAAGGCCGGGCAGTCGTCAGGTCAGCAGTCGGCCCAGAGGTCAGATCTGAATCCAGAAGCAAGAGAACATTGTCTGCCAGTTCTGTTAGGAGCTTTCCTGGACATTTACTGAACGCAAAGATTGTATAACAGAAGTTTGCTTCACATTTCAGACATGAGCTTTTTCCACAGAAAAGCGGAATTCCATGTTTTTTAATTCAATTCTGATGGTTCCTCAGATTTGTCATGGTTAGCTGTTGGGTCCCATTATAAATGTTCAGTTTTTTTTTTTTTTTTTTTTTTTTTCAAAACCTAGGCTCATGTCTGATATTTGTCATGCTAGATGTGATGCTCAAACATTGTGGAATAAATAATATTTTATATTTGATAATTTAGAAATATTTTCCTTGATGGGGACAGCAGGACTGTGCTCCAATAAGAATATTTTACAAACAACCAGAGGACCAAGATTTAAGTGTGGTTAAAGTACAGAATTATCTCTAGCTGTTTCAAACAAGAGCATGTTTTTCTTTGAAGAGAATGAAGAATATTTCTGACCTATTTTAATCAAGTATTATGTGAAACAGAATCTCATCATTTACATTTTCTGAAATAATAACCATGTGTAAAGATGTCAAAAACCTTCTCATCTATATTGCTTGAGTAACAAAAAATATTTGGACCTATTAAATTTGTTTTTTAAGGTTGAACTGCACACACTCAAACATTTCTATTTTAAAATCCAATGTCAGTGCTTTTTCACTCTTTTTATGCTGGTAAACTTGCAGCACTGCACAGGCGTCATTCACCATTTTATGAGAGCAAGTGTTTGCAGGAATTGTAGCGGAAAACCCTTGTCTACTTAAATTGATAACATATTGAAAGTATATGTTTGTGTTATAGTAAAACTGTTAACTGTTAAAGCATCAAGCTTTACAAACAATGATTATTTTAAGATCATTCATATTTATATTGTTAAACAATCAAATTCAATACTTGCAGTCAGAATATTATGCAGAAATTTTAGACATTTAATTTTTGTAGTTCATTGTTGAATGATGTTCAGTTATAAAAAGGAATTTGTTGAATAATTAGTATTTATATTAGTATTTAATCAGAGTAAAAAGATATCAGTTAGTGGATTTATCTTATTATATACACAGTAACAGCTGGTATAGCATGTTATTTCAGTTTACATATATGGTAAAAAAGGGACCACGCTTGTTCCAGTTTTTTCAAATAAAATATATTATTTTTTATCTCCAGATTTCAGTCGCATTGCTTTGATACCCGTACATACACATTTCCCTGCCTGTTAGCTGGCAGCATTCAGTTTTAGGTCAAAAGAACATGCATTTTTAAGGGAAGGATAATAAGTGCTTAAACTACAAATGATAAAATTCTCAGACCACTGTTTTATTCATAATTATACTTGCAAAATTGGAATTCTCAGAATTCAGAAACTTTATTTTTAAATTGATTTCAGTTGGCTAATTTGCTAGACCAAAAGATGTTAAAATATACCACGTAATAGTTTCACATGCTACATATATCTCATTAGATCACTATTACTGCTACTGATACAATGAATTTACATATCTATCCTTTTAAACATGTCATTAAGGTTGTGCTTGTCTTAATTCTTCACAATATCTACTTTGATAGGTCAATATATACTATGCTAAATCAAACGCGGAAATGCTTTCTTCTACATATACTCTAACAATTAAAAAATTTATTATGCAAGTTAACAATTAAAATAAAAACAATATGAAGTTGTCTTACTTCAATGGAAAAATTAACAACTGTGGATTATGCCCATAACAATTGCCAAATTTTTATAATACCCTTTGTCAGGGGTAACTTTACGGGGACCTCGCCTGCAACATCATACATAAAGATGAATGACAATGAAGAGTACAAAACTCATTACATACAGGTGGATTTCATTATTGCTGATGGTTTAAAATCACTTGTATATCATTTAGGCAGAATATTTCATCAAACTGATTGAAAATTAAAAGAATGCTATAGTGAGCAGACTCAATGGTCTTATGTTTGACTACATTTAGATACATGTATAATCATCTGAGGATCATGACCTTTCAGGAACACTGGATTTCATGAATCAAGGTCAAGATCCCTAGAATTCAAATATATATCGGCCATTCCTCAGGACTTCAAATATACAACAACTGTTTTGTATATCACTAAAATCCTCAAGCTGTATTATATATTACATGTATAAACATCTGAGGATCAGCTACCTTTCAGGAACAATATGGATTTCATGAAGCAAGGTCATGACCCCTAGAGTTGACCACTTGTGACGGAGTTCAAATAGGACATACCTCAGGAATTCAAATATACAACAACTGTTTTGTATATCCTGAAAAATCCTGAGCCGTATTTTATATTTTGAATGAGTTTTGGAAAAAAAGCTACATACAGAATGCCCAAAATATATCAGTTTATTTATTTTTCAGATCTCCTGGCCTGATCTGTCTCTCTCCTTCTATCAGAAATATCTGCAGAGCTTTCTTCAGCAGATACGTCCCCAGTAGTCTTTTCTGTTTCAATGTCCATGTGCTAGCCTTACCATAGTAATCTCCTTTCTTTATGTTAGTCAACCTGTCTAGTCCTGAAATAAAGTTTTAAACATGAAGCAAAAGGGAATTCCATTGTAGCAGACTGTCCTACAAAGTTGAGAACATGTCATGCAAGTAGACAGTAATTTCAGAGGAGGGTTTTTACTGTAAAAGTGGACTATTTTACCCATTTAGTTGACCCAACTTGACAAATGGAAAAGGACCTAGATTGTGTTTATTCATAGTAAAACCTTTTCCATCCAAAAGAATGGTTCTTTTAAACCTACAAACCCCTCCCTCCACCTATGATTCTGAATGTACTATAAGGGTGATTTATTTGTAGCCTGTTTTAAGTTTGCAAATATACATATATTTACTGCTAGCACATAGGATACTGATTTTAGCCTCGTTTGTATGTACAACTTATATACAAGTCTGATACATGTATGTATGTATGTCAGTTTCCTTAAACTTACATCAAAAGTAATACATAAATGTATACAGGAATATATCTCTGTATTTGTATCCATGTATGAGACAATAGTTTTACCTATAGCATCTATCATGGCAGCCTCCCTGGTGTAGGCTTCTACTGGAATAATACTGTTGAAGACATGTAGAGAGACCACACCCAGACCTTCCTCCCAGATCTCCAATATGTGCTTCACCTTTTGGTTTTCCTGAAAGGCAAATATTTTGCAAACTTCATTTAAGCATGGGCACATTTTTCACTGCATTGTGCATCAGTGAGATGGATCTCAAAACAATTTGCTTTGAAACCTGCAGTACAAAAAATTAAATTCTTATTTCATAGCCTACCTTTTTATTTTGCTTATTCTTGATCTCTAGCGCTTCAAAGAAATGGCTGTATCCTCTACTCTTCTTGCCTTTGCCAATGTAAAAAATGGCAGCAATGAAGGTCTGGAGAACATCTGCTTCATCTATTAAGGAAAAAGAAAATTAAAGTGGTTTTGGCATGATTCTTGCATGGATTTATCCATAACCTTTTTCAAAGGGGGCACTGGAGTTATACAGTCAGAAGAAAACTTGATGAATCTGTAAGTTCTTAAAAGAGAAGAATAATACATCAAAAACTGAAAAATGAACAATCAATGGCGACAGACGAACTAGTATTTGAATGGCTGACTTACTCATGTTCCTAGCTCTACAAGGCAGGTTCTTGGTCACTCTGGGGTCCAGTAACATGTAGTTAAAGGAGGACTTCTGTATCCCCTCCCTCCAAAACATGGCGGGGTCAGGACTGGCAAACTGACCACACAGCTGTTGTTCCAATCCCTCACACACGCTCATGTCCAAGTTACCTTTTAAGGCTAAGGCCAACTCTTGCTTGTACACTGAAGAGGAAATGAAAAAAATATATTACAGTCAGAAGAAACAACATTCTTCAGAAGACAAATGTTCAAAGTAGAACTTATCAATTAGTATAGCAATTGACAAATAACTTTTTCCAACATTTGAAATATATCTTATTGTGTCAGCAATAAGCAAATGTCAGTAAATGTCAGCAACATTACAACATCAAGGATAACTGCCAGACATAAGTGTAACTTTAGTAATTATTTAAACGTTGTGTTAATAGTTCATACTTATGTATGTTGATTCAAAAGTACTGGAGAAGCTCATAGCAACTAAAACTAACAAATGTTGAAAAAGAAAAGTACTAGAATGAAAGGGGCATTAAAAATCCTTTGCCAACATACCTGGCTTATCCACAGGTACATGTTTTTGAGCCAAATCAGGATTGTGTAAGAGTCTGGCCAGCCTTCTGAGGTACAGCATCCTGGTGGAGTCCATCACAGGGCCAGGGAAGTCCCCCATGTTAAACAGCCGTCTCCTGACCTCCTCATTACTCAGTGCAGCCAGCTCTGCAGGGATCTGTACCTGATTACTGTCTGCTGGCAGGAAGCTGTTCCAGTCCTTGTAGTCCTCTGGCTCTGGAGGAACCTCGCTGAGAACACTGGAGTTTACGGCAGTCGGTTCTGGCAGGATATGCATCTCGATGATGCTAGCACCAACCTTGTCTTCTGTGTGGACCCATTCTTCTATCTCGGACACCAGACTGGACACACTGCTGACCACACTGCTGCACTGGCTACCAGCACGGGGACTGACCACCGAGTGGTCAGGGGTTAGTAAGCTGTGGTCACCAAACTCCAGGCCGTCTGCCAGAGACCCCACAGTGGAGCTGCTGGTGTTCATGCCACCAGGTTTGTTATCAGTGAAGTAAAAATTTGATGCTGGAGATGTTTTGTTGCTGGTGTCTTTCATCACAAGTATTCGCCCCACGTCTTCTTCCTCAGACTTGGTCACTAAGGAGAGAGCACCTGCAAGCTGGGAAGCAAGTCCGTCGCAGTCATCCTGGGCCGCTGTCACTGGACCTTCATGATCCGATTCACAGGTGTGAAATGATTCACTGCTCTCATCTAGACTCAACTCTGGGTCGTTTTGCTCAGACTTTTGGTGTCTTGAGTCAAGGCCTCTGTTGCTCAGGGAATCAAAGAATGCTGCATCACCTGCTGCTGTGGGTGTATGCTGGGATGCAAGTTCACTGAATGACTTCATTGCTGTTAGATTTTGTAGTGTTGGAAAGTTACTGGAATGTTTATTTGGCATCGAAGGAGACTGAGAAGTGGAGTCATTGAATGATTTCATTGAAATTGGTTGTCTTTGAGCAGGGAATGTATCCAGGCATGTCTCTCCTGCAGTCTGGTACAGTGAACTAGGTTCCACGAATGATGTGACTGTTGGCAGGTTTTCATCAATGTTATTTCTAGTGTCACAAATGCTCTCTGTGGTGTCCGTGTTACATGGAAGAGTGTCATCCAAATCCACATTATCCACTTTTGGCGCTATCTGCAAGTTGTTTAAATAATCTTTTTTACAATTTATGTATTAGGGCACATATAACACATTAAAATGGTGAGCACTATTATATAAAAGTTAGTTTTAGAAAAAGAATCAAATGAAAAACAGTGTTTTCCTTGTCACTAAATTCTTTTTCATACATATTTGCAGATTTCAAAATAAAAATACTGATAATTTTCTGTCGCCTCTAAAGACATGATTCACTTACAAAAGGATGGTCTGGAGATGAAACATCAAAAATGTCTTCGTCAGCAGAAAATTTCTCCAGCAGTCGGTTCACACTCTCTGTGTAGAAACTCTGACGAGCTTTAGTGTTTATAACTGGGCGAAGGGAGCGCCTGTGCTTCTGTTTTCTTGGTTCATTAACTACCTGGGGAATGTTAAGAATAGACATCATATCATGTCACGTTACATCACATTATGTCACATGTTACATTTGTGTTGAGAACATTACTCTCATTTCTTAGCAATTTGAAAAATGACCTTGATTAAAGAAAAATTTGAATTATAATAATGTGTTTAGCATTCACTTTATACATCTTCCTATTACCTGGAGCTTGGAAACATTGAGTAAAGAATTTGAACTGTGGCCGTCAGAAAGCCTGGACTCTGAGCCAACAGATGACAGAGCGGAGCTTGGACGAGACGGCAAGGACAAACATGACAGCTCCCAGGCAGAAATACGCTGATCTACAGAGAGTAAAATAGATCTTAAAATTAAGTATAACATTTCAAAGTAGTGAAAAAAATCAATATGTATCCTAGATTAATAACTCTACCAGAGTGCCACAGCTTGTCATCTCATTTGACCAACACATTATCAGAAGCCATGACAAAACTATATCCACAACATAAATTATAATAATACTTATGAAAATGGTCTGCTTTAGGTAAAAAATATTAAAATAGATGAATATTAACACAAAAGATTATCCACATACTGAGAATAGATCTAACAGTAGTCTGTAGTTCTTCTCTGCTATCCTCCTGAAGACTGTGGATGTACTCTGCCACATCAGTGTGGTTATTTAACAGAGCTAGGTCAAGTGCAGACTGGCACTCCTGAACAGATAGAATACATTGCACATCAAAAGTTTATCACCCTATCGTTTAAAGAAAAATACTAAAGAAACAGTGGAGGGAATACAACACTGCTTTTTTTTTTATAGCAAACAGGAATAAATTATTATACACAAAACAACATCGGTAACCAAACAAACAATCCATGATCAATTTGCTTAAAAAAAAAAACATTTTACAATTCACAAAACTTTTTGATTGCCTTGCAATAAATGACACACTTTGCAATGGTACTTAATCTATTCAATAACTTTACTTGGTGTTCAACAAAACTATTATTTTATTTATGATGCACACAAGTACTGTGCCTATCTGACAAATCTCTTTCCTTCTGTAAACATACATTAATAACAACAGTTGTAAGAAAAAAGTAGGAACAAATGGCTTAGTGGACTTATGAATAGGGGTATCTGGCCACTTATGGAGTAAATTCTGTCTGTGTCATATATTATTCAGTTGTTTACGTTTTGTCCAAAGAGGTATCTATAATGTAGTGGAGAGTTAATAACAAGGTTGAATGAAAGTTATGTATTGAAACAGTGTGTTTGTTTAATTTAAGTCGTTCTAAGACAATCTGCTTACCATATCTTCCATAAATGGATCTCCTCCATTGCTGACTAGTAGTCTAAGCACCTGTAGTTTGCCATAAGCTGCAGCCACATGACATGGGGTAGTGCTTTCTGTGTCTCTGAAAGATTGAAACATCACATGGCAACACCATTTGAAGATGATTTTTAGTGATAAATATATTTCTTCTCAATTAATACAAAAGACAGCTACAGAACAAATCTGTAATTTCATAAGTTTTTGAATTATTACCTCTTCCAATAAACTGTATGACAATCTACAAAAAGAAGCAGATTATTCATCAATATTGGCCTGTAAAATACTAGTACTGTAGTTTATAAACAAGATCTCCCAAACTTCTTCATAAGTTTTGATTAAATTTCTGGCATAGGAAAGTGGGAAGCAGTTACTGCAATTTCAATTTCAAGTTTTCTAAATATCTATTTTTACATGCTCTACTGTACCTGACATTAGGGTTTGCTCCATACTGAAGAAGTAGCCGTGTAAACTCCACAGCATTGGTTTCTGAACCCACAGCCAGGTGGAAGGGGGTGACAGCTTCTATTAAGATTCTGTTTGGATCAGCACCATCCTTCAGCAATGTTCCTGCCTCTCTGCAAGAATTATTACAGGTCTTTATTTCCTTCAGCCAAAACAAAACCTTGACAAACGAAAATAAGTGGTTAACTTAAATGAAAGCAGATGGAAGGAATTAAAATAATAATATTTAAGTCCTATCCCTTTTTAATCTATAAAGGGCAAATTAATTCATTAATCACCTTGGAATTTGCAACATGGCCAAATCCAGAGCTCGACTCAGCTCTCAGCCTTACATGCTATAGCTGCGTTAAGGGTTCCTGGCTAGTATATGTAATGCCGAAAAATGGGGCAAGTCCAGAACCCGTTTCAAGATTTTTTATGTAGCTACCGATTCTCGGCGTTCTACACCGATACCAATGCATATTTGGCCAATAACCTGTACCAAAAGGCCAAAGGAAATATATGACTTGTCAACTGGTCACATTACCTGAGGCGATTTTCTTGAATAGCATGCAGAAGAAGTTCACTCAGCTGGTGCACTGACATTTCGCATGTTTTGCTTTTCCCGGCCAATTTGTCAACAGCAGTAAATATTTTACGGAATTTGATTGGCCACACTAAAATTGGTGAAGCATTTTTTTTATGTGATGTTTTATCTGATCAGTACACCCTGAGCTTCAGAGCTAACTTGACACTAACCTTTTCACTGTAGCCTATCTCCATCGTGTCAAGTAACTTGACACGATGGAGATAGGCTACAGTGAAAAGGTTAGTGTCAAGTTAGCTCTGAAGCTCAGGGTGGATCAGTAAAACGTAGGATGTTTGCCGGCTTCACATTTATCAAGAACAATATTCCAAACCTGAAAATGCAGAATGAGTGCACTGTTGCACTGTAGTTGATTGTTATACAAATGTATGCATCACTTGATTAGTCACATGCTTGACCTACTTAATCATAACATCAGGCCACCTAGCATCACTTCCACAATGTGAGTCCCTTTCAGTGAGATTGTTGGACACTGTATTGAACGAAAATGACGTCCAGGAGGAATAATTGCTGTGTAGTGCATTTTTCCACTGTGATAAATTGGTCTGTGATTGTGTTAACAGGGATTATATCTTTGTTTTGCTGGGGCACGTTAGGTAAGTACATCTTATTTTATTTTGTTAGTACAGTACATGTAGTGTATGTGTAGTTCAAATCTAAGCCGGGTACTAACCTTACGTAAGTTATTAGTACAGATCATAGGACATAAATTTTGGTTTATTGGCGATATTTCAAGAGGTTATTAAAATATTCACATTTTAAATTCTGCTTCTAGTAGTAGTACAGGCCACTAGTGGAGGTGGGAGGGGTCCATGCAGTAAAGTACTTTTTACTCTTTGATCAAAATGTAGCAATTTTGCCAATAATTGTCCTATGTCACCTTTTTTGTCAAATTTTTATGTGACAGTAAATTAACAATGGTATATCTACTGGTATTACTGAGCACTGTAATTCATTGCTTTAAGGCAAGTAACTTCCCCCTCTTCTCCAGGTGCTATTCCCTGTGCCAGGCGTGACTTCAGCCATGGCTCTGTAGTGTGCGTGTGCAATGCCTCTTACTGTGACACAGTGGACCCCGTGACTTCACTGACCGCCGGCCACTATGTGGTCTACCAGTCCAGTAAGGCTGGTGACAGGTTTGCCAAAACAACCGGACAGTTTACAAAGGGAAAGCTTGAAGTCAATAGTGGTAGGTTTTATTTTTGTATTGGCATTGATGAGGAAATTGAAAAGTAAAAATTAAATATTTACATGAGCTTATGTGACTGATATACCAAATAAGCTTAGCTCTGGTAGTTGGATTATAATTAAAGGGAAAAAAGGTGGATGCAATGAAATGTACTTTTAATTCTGATGTGTGTGTGTGTGCGTGCATGTGTGCGTGCGTGTGTGTCTTTTAAGCAAAGTATGTATAGTGAAATAATATTGACTATCACAATTTAGATTTTTTTCATTACAGAATAAGACAAATTGTGTGAAATTAATTTAATTATTTTAATGATTGATATATATTGGTGAATACATTTGATTTTTCCAGCAAGCTCTGTGGTTTTGACAATCAACAGAAGCAAGACATACCAGACAATGAATGGGTTTGGAGGGGCCTTCACTGATGCTGCAGGCATAAATATTCTCAATGTCTCTGTCAAAACAAGGACGAATCTAATGAACTCATACTTTTCACCTGAGGGTAATATTTGTTTCCAGTTATGATTTTATTATAATGCAGATTTGAATTGGGTTTCCTTTACCCTTTGATTGTCAATGACCATTTTACATATTTTAAAAGTTGAGTAACATATCATTGTCATATTGTATAACATCATATTGTATAAGGTATCACTGAGTAACACATCATTATCAAATATAAACATTGTCATGATTGTATGAAGCCCAACATGTGCTTACTTGCACATTTTTTATCTGTGTACAGATATATGACTTTGTAATGTGAATAAGTTTATCATAGTTATCAATTTGAAAGATTTATATCAGTTGTCATAGATAATTCAGTACCTTTGTCTGAATTGATTGCTGAAAAAATGATGTCAGTTTTATTATGTACAGANCTTACAGGAAAGAAACATGGGTCTAACATACAGCTTCAATAGGCAACGCAGTCTGTTTGGTAAATTTTTCTGGCAATTTAACAGTTTTTTGTGAAAATTTAATTTTTCACTTATTTGCATCTTTATTTTCTGTTCTTTGTCTGTACATTTGACAGCTTTGCTGCCTTGTTTTTATTTTGTTTTCAGTAAAACTGTATTCTGTGTGTTTTGTATTGTTTACAGGACTTGAGTACAGTATTGGTAGGATTCCAATGGCAAGCTGTGATTTCTCTACACATCCATACTCTTATGATGACACTGCCATGGACTTCAGTCTCAGCAACTTCAGCTTGACCAAAGAGGACACCAAGTTCAAGGTCAGTTCCCCAAAAGTTGAGGTCTGAACATTTAGGGCACATTCCCAATGAAACTTTTGTTTTACATGGATCGATCCAACTCTGTAGGGACTCTGATTTTTTTGTGTCTGTAGCACTTCTGGAAGCTTTTTCACTTCATTTTGATTGCCACTAAACACACATAAAAGTAAATCACTCCCCACAGTAGCTGCTCAAGGAGGCATGTCATCCAGATTATTTGATTGCAAGAGTTCCCCTCAGATTTGCAATGATCCTGAAGTTAAAAGGTCATGTCGTCTTTTACCTCCAAGGTCATTTTATTTGGTTTAAAGTTGATATGAATTATAAAGTTAATATGATTTATGTGCATTTTAAAATATTCAGATACCACTGATACAACAAGCTCAAGCCATGAACCACCGCAAGATGAAGTTTTTTGGGAGTCCTTGGAGTGCGCCATCTTGGATGAAAACCAACAAGAACATGAAAGGACGGGGCAGCTTGATGGGGCAGCCAGGGGGGAAATACTTCAAAACTTGGGCCCAGTATTTTGTCAGGTTATTACATTTGTCTGAGCCTACTTAGATCCTGATATAATTTTTAGCACTGACAGGAAGATGAATGAAAATTTAATGATTTATTTCAGCTGTAAATGTCTGCATATTATGTTATTAGTTTTATTCTTGTATTAAATAGCTTATTTATTTGTGCTGGTGTGAAAAAAAACTAGAGAATCAATAGAAAACCATTTCTTTTTCTGATCAACAGGTTCATTCAAGAATACCAAAAGCAGAACATTACTATGTGGGGTATTACTGCTCAAAATGAGCCATCCGATGGTGAAATCATCGACTTCCCTTTCCAAGCCATGGGTTGGACTGCAGACCTCCAGAGGGACTTCATCAAGACAGACCTGGGCCCAGCCTTGCAGGCAGCAGGCTTTGCCAGCGTGAAACTGATGATTCTGGATGATAACAGGATCTGGCTCCCACTCTGGGCAAAGACGGTATGATGATGATGATTTATTTCATATTTTGATGGGAAAAGATAAATGTCAGTTCCATTTTCATGTGAATGAAAGAAAATAGAGAGCCCTGTGTCTTTTATGTGAATTTCAAAACGTTTCATGAAAATATTCATGCAAGCAGATAAATTTCATGTTTAAGCCATTCCATATATTACATCCTGAAGGTTATTGTCATCTCTTCATATCTAAAGAAATATATTTAAAAAAACAATTTTTTGTACATCTTTTAACTTCATTGAAGTAAACTGATAATTATAAAAGGGACTTAAAGTTTTATGTAGTGAAAAGGATATTAAGTAGGGAGACAAGTGATTTGTGGAATGGTACACTGGCACTTATGAAAATATTTGAAAGAATTTTATGCTTTGTTTCTCTTGAAACCTGGCAATCATGCAGGACACTCACTATTTCCATCTTTCCAGGTCCTGTCTGACCCAGTGGCAGCCAAGTATGTGTCAGGTATAGGTGTTCATTGGTACCTGGACACAGAATGGTTGGTGCCTGCATCACTGCTCACAGACACCCATAACCTGTTTCCAGACAAGTTTATCCTGGCCACAGAAGCCTGTGCTGGCTCCATGCCCTGGCAGACCAAGGTGATACTGGGGAGCTGGGATAGGGCAGAGAGTTACAGTAGGGATATCATAGAGGTAGACACAGTGCACTCACCAAATACCTCACACTCTAGCTCCCTCCTTCTCTCTCTCTCTCTCTCCCTCCCTCCCTCTCTCTCTATCTCTCTCTCTCTCTCTCTCTCTCTCTCTCTCTCTCTGACTGGTCCTTATATCATTACTGTACAAATCGCTCCCACTCTGCCCCCCCCCAACACACCCTCTCACTCTGTATATTATCTCTGCCTGATGCTTTTCACATCCTACAGTTCTTTTAGCTGGACAGGCTCACTGCGACAGGACCTAACATGTAAATACACTTCACAAGTTATCCAAATTTCGCTTTCAGCTCTTTATTCAAATTAATTAATTGACAATGTTGAATGTGGGGATTCCGTTTAGATATCTCTCTTACATTATAGCCATATTTCAAAGTTGTCATGTTATCAGAGTGATATTCTGTCTATTTGTACTCATAAAATGGTGAACCTCCATGTCTCCAGGATATCTCTAACTGGGCCAGTGGCTGGACAGACTGGAACCTAGCTCTGAACATGCAGGGAGGACCTAACTGGGTGAAGAACTTTGTGGACAGTCCAATTATAGTCAATGCTGAACGTGATGAGTTCTATAAGCAACCCATGTTTTATGTAATGGGACATTTTAGGTAAGATGGTGAAGTTTTTATTTAAAAATGTAGAAGAACAAAGATAACTGTTACAGTAGTGGTGGAAGTAAAATTTTGGGCACAGTTGTGACAGTATCTGCTTCTCTTTATAGCGTTAAAACAAACACTAAATGACGTTTTAGATTTGCATACAAACAAAAATATTTCATTTAGGGAAGGCAGCAAAATATAGTTGATGTGTTTCTGTTTGCAGCAAGTTTGTTCCTCCAGATTCTGTGCGAATAGACCTGACATCTTCTGACAAGTCCATACTGGCAGTGGCTTTCACAGCTCCTGATAAATCAACTGTACTGGTCACTAGCAACAGGTAAGACAGGCCAGAAGCCAAGGGCTGGTTGGGGGGGGGGGTGAAGGAACCACCCTTTTGGTCAGCAAAGATCATGCCTAAATGAAAATTTTATCTAGGTTCTATGCTTTTGAATGATCTGGATGCTACATCAGGAAAAAAAATGTATGTCAGTTTTCCTCTTAATTCGGATATTTCAAATTTATAATCTTTCAGATATGGCTGATATAAATATAATCTTATTGCAGACAAAACCAAGATGTGACAGTGGTAGTAAAGGACAGCGCAGTGGGGACCATGACCATCACTTTACCACGCCACAGTATACAGACCTTTGTATGGTGGACATAGGATGGAGAATATTTATAACATCTCTTTGACACATTTATCTTATTTATTGGGGTTGTAACACTTAACAGTGTCCCCACAGATTTAATCATTAGAAATAGTCTTTCAGCTCTCTTGTGAAGAGATGGAGTCAGACGACATTTTTCTTGGGTAATTGTGGCGCAGCTCTTCCACTGTCATGGAAAGAATATTAGAAAGTGTGCACAACTGAGATCTCTCAGGAAATTTGTTTTTCTTTATGCACTTTGGTCATATTTATGCCAGAAAATTCAGTGTCAAATAGGTTCATCTGCTGGTCTCAGAGGTTCAAAGGTGTTGTGATTTTGTCTTTCATGCCATTTCATAGCGTAATTTGTTGTATACTGAGAGTTAAGAACATAGATATTAAGTGTATGTCATGTACAACCTACAACTTCTTATTCCACTGGTCTCTGCAACTAGCATACCTTAAAAAATTCATGTCCATTTCAAAATGTGGCAGTCCAAAGATGAAATCTATAGGCAGTTGATCTGACTTAAAAATGAATTTTTTACTTGTCCAAAGTTGAATTCACTAGTCATTAGACTTAGACTGCAAGCCTGCAGTCTGACTGCATAAACAGTGGTGTTAATTTAAAATGTGGCTAGTTTACAATATTGTTATAAGGGTAACAGTTTACTTGTTAGAAATAGGCTTTTTTCATTGATGATAAACACGTTTGCTTTACCTGCTGTGATACTTGGTATTTTTCAAAACTGTATTATTACTGTGCTTCAGGACCATAGTATTAATGTGATATTTTCATGCCAGTTCCACGGGATTGATTTGACATGTTTTGTATTCAGCTCTAGTCCTGAAAGCTTTCTTTGCAAATAGTTTGTGTTGAGCTCATCACAGAGGTTGTGTAAAACATTTGTGAGATATTGGCATTTCAGTGATATTGATTTTGAAATATCAGATTGTCATTGAAAGGCATTAATAAATCAGTTTTGTTGACGTTTGTTTATTATGACTTGATAAGTACGTTTTTTAAGGCACTGTTTTAGACCTTTTTAATGCTGAATTTGTCATGCTAAAAAAGTGAGCTTTCATTTTCCATTGATAGGTAAAAGTGCAAATGTGCCTATAGTATAACCTGTATGATAAACACATCGGGTCACAGTCTTCCTAACATCGTTTGGTCTAAGAAGTTGAATCATTTTTTAAGAAAATAAGAGAAAGTGAATAAAGAAAACAAAAAACTGCATAACAGAGATTCATGTTTTGTTTTAAAGATCTTACGACCAGGATATTGGGAAAAAAGTAACGAAAATTTTAAACTTCGCAGTAGGTATTCTGAAGTACAGCTAGCAGGACTTTCAGAACCTGCTATGGGTTCATCTCTGTTTATTAGGAGAGGCAGGAACCGAGGTGATTCAGAACTTAAAATTTACTTAATTTTTAAGGACGGGCAAATTTTTCAAACGTGCTAGAGAACTTGAACAAAAGTAACGTCTTAGTTTTATTTGTCTAAAAAGGAACTAACATATTCACAATAATAGTCCAATTTGTCAAACGATTTCTTTTGATGTCGCTCTTAGATCACTTAATTAAATGCGAGATTATTACTTGCCCAAATGTAAAGAGCGAAGTTTCCTGGTTTCCTCTAAATAAACATGTTGCTGGCTTTTCATTTTCTAATTTTATTGTTTTTATTTATTTATTTATTTATTTATTTATTTATTTATTTATTATTTGGCAGAGGCCAGTAATGCATTTAAGTGCATTTGGGAGAAACGCACAAGTATCTACAACGACTCCCTGTACAGTCAGTTTACACATATTTAGGCAATATAAGAAAGTTACCATAATAGATACTGCTGAATAAAATGAAACTTCGTTCAAATTTATTTTCAAAGAGGACCTCATGTTAATCATTTAAAGTTTAAAACACAAATTTGAGAGATATTATGACTAATGCCTAATAAATGACAATTTATTTTTACTGTGGAAACGGTTATTTGCACTGCCGTGTATCGGCGAACGTAACATCCTTCTCATGCTATCTTCTCGTTTTTACTACCATATTACGGTTATTTCTAATGTCACTTACATTATATACATATGTTTTGGAATGAAACTGCTTAACAAACTATTCATTCATTCATTCTTGTTAATTACCAGGCGTACTTATTTAGGCAGAGGTACCTTTATTTTGGCATGACTTTCTTTCAATCAGTGGTCATAACAATCTTTTTTTTTTTTAGCGTTATGATTACCTACTGACTACTTAAATCACATCAAAAGGCAAAAGAAAGCGGTCATCTTCCGCGCGGTGTGCGTGCGCTCAGCCGTCATAAAAGAAGAACAAACCCATTCAGAACATTTAGAGTACATTTCAAAGCATTGAAAATTACCCTAACAAAAGTTGTGAAGTTCATCAAACAGATTTGTGCACGGAATTCAAGTAAGTTGAATGAAAGAAATCGTGAGTTAATCACTCTGACTCCGTGAGTTGCTTTTGAAAGAAACGTGTCGTTGCTTTTGAAAGAAACGTGTTTTTAAGGGAAATACTTTACAAAGAGGAATATTGATTGAGTTTTTGATTGTTTCATCGACAAGAACAATCGATTTTCACATTTTCACACATTCAGAACTCTTTTTTTCCATAAACGTCAGTGATTCAAGTGAAAAAAAATCTTATTGTTCACCTGCGTTGACTTTGTCTGTACTTGAATTAATCAATTGTGTTGATCAATACGGCTGACACAACTCTACACAGATCAATACGTCCAATCTTGCCTTGTAATAAAAGTAAAACAGGATGGTGTACATCAATCATGAAAGACACGTTCACATGACAGCATGGTACGAGATCGAAACCGTTTTATATTAAAATGGAAACATCACTTGTTAGTAATCTGAGAAGGCTGCGACGCAGAGCCGAGTCTTACCAGAAGGGTACGCGCGTGGTGTAGCCTAGCAGAAGTGGGCTTTGGGTGGAGACCGCCAAATAAATAGGAACAATTAACGTCAAATGAATAGCTCCATAACCAATCTCATGAAGGAATCATGTCTTGTAAATGGCAATGTAGAGAGTGCAGTAAGGACATGCTGCAGGCTGATCGATAAACAGAATAGACGGTCCATTGGGATTTCGAAGAGCTGGCGGGGAAATAATATTTATAATGAACGCTGGAGTACATGTAATGGTGAACATGGAAAATGGATGTATTTTTCACATATCCGTAAACGATTTGAACAAGGCAGAATTTAGTTGATTATAACAACCAAATAGATAGAGAAATAAATAGATAATGAATACGCTAACAGCTTCGCTGTTTATCTGTAAGAGAATGCCTGTCGGTTATTATAATTAAATAAGCAAGGCTGTGAGATTATTCAAGCACGTTATATGATAACAGCATTTAATAAACTAAATGGGGAATTTTTATGTGCACCTTAGAACCTATATATCGTTCAACATTTTGTGTAAAACAAGTCTTTATAATGAATCATCACCTTTAAACAACGCTCCTTAAAATGCTAATAATATCTATAGCAATAATATGTTTTCCGTTTCAAAATCTATTTTATGATCCCTGTCAATAAAAAGATATAGAAATGATACCGCTCTTGTTGGTCTTGTTAACTATCACATGCTGTGTATAATCTATTAATTATAGTTAAGAGTGATGAGGGTCACGTGTACACGTCTACCGAAAACGACGCAAAACATCAGCGAAGCCACTTCATTAACATCATAATCACTCCAATTTCCTCCTCGAAATAGACGGCAGGCATCATAAGGAAAAACAACGCGATTTTATTTGACTTTGAAACGGCGAAGGTGATATTTATTAAGGCAGTCAATTCTGCCATTCATTTATTGCGAATAATCCAGCAGTGAAATATTGATAAAGCTGAAAGAGCAGGCGCAAAGATCAGCAAGGGGATAAGTTGCAGTTGGACCATTTTTCATTATTTTCCCGGTGTTTTACCATGACCAGTGGCATGATGGCCCCTCTGGACAGATTCAGGTCCTGGGTGAAGAGGAGAGTGAAGCAATGGAAGGTAGGGATTGGTTGTGGGTGAGACACAGTGGAAGGTAGGGATTGGTTGTGGGTGAGACAGAGTGGAAGGTAGGGATTGGTTGTGGGTCAGACTTAAGTGGAAGGTAGGGATTGGTTGTGGGTGAGACTTAAGTGGAAGGTAGGGATTGGTTGTGGGTGAGACTTAAGTGGAAGGTAGGGATTGGTTGTGGGTGAGACCTAAGTGGAAGGTAGGGATTGGTTGTGGGTGAGACTTAAGTGGAAGGTAGGGGTTGGTTGTGGGTGAGACACAGTGGAAGGTAGGGGTTGGTTGTGGGTGAGACTTAAGTGGAAGGTAGGGGTTGGATGTGGGTGAGACTTAAGTGGAAGGTAGGGGTTGGTAATGAGTCATTGTGGGTAATCATGAGACACAGAAGAAGGCATGGGGTGGTAATGGGTGAGACACAGAGGAAGGTAAGGAGTGGTTGTGGATGAAATACCAGAAGGTTGTGAGTGAGAAGAAGTGGAAGGTAGGGGTAGATGTGGGTGAGAAACAGTGGAAGGTAGGAGTAGATGTGGGTGAGACACAGTGGAAGGTAGGGGTAGATGTGGGTGAGAAACAGTGGAAGGTAGGGGTAGATGTGAGTGAGAAGAAGTGGAAGGTAGGGGTAGATGTGGGTGAGACACAGTGGAAGGTAGGCTTTGGTTGTAGGTGAGGCATGGTGGAAAGTGGGGGTAGATGTGGGTGAGACAGTGAAAGGTAGGAGGCAGTTGCATGTGAGATACATTGGAGGGCAGAAAGTTATGTACCATGACAACCAGAGGTTGGGCAGGTCAGAACTATGACTGTGGCAGGCAGAGCCAGGTTGTGGGTACGATGTTAAATGGTATAGGTTTTGTTTTATTGGCCCGTTAACAAGGGAGTGGTTGGGTTTAACAGGTACGCTGGTACCCTATTTATCATATCAACTGTTGGAACAGCAGTAGTGACTAGATTCCTATTATGCAGCATGGACTGCAGCAACTGAAGTAAAAATCAATTTTTATGTGATTTAAAACAAATACATCTAATAAAAACTCAGGTCAAGAAATTAGTTTATCTAATAACAAATCTCTTACATGCTTTGGGCAGTATTTTCTCTTGAGAGTTGCCTTGCTACATGTATTTTCTATTCAAGTTACAAACCCATAAGCAAATCCATGCCATTTTTAAATGAGAAAGTATAACAAAAAAAAATGTGGAAGACGATTTCTTCTTAGATCCAAGAAATTGAGGATTTCCAGAAAAGCTTGGAGGAAAATCCAACAGCTCAGTGAACCCAGTTAGTCTGTGGATAAACTGGTGGTTCAGCATCTGATCTCCCAGAGGGAATGGATTCATTATCTTAATACATTGGAGGTTCTTACAAATCAAAGGAAAAGACATAACATTAAAGCTATTGATATTTTGATAGGTCTATAAGCCAGACCAAGACAGACCAATTGCTTTTACTTTCATGCAAGTATTTCCTTGGCCATGCCAAGCACTGAATATAAAGTACATTACATTCCAAGCAGTTTGACAGCTTTGCTTCTTGAACATTTTAACTGCACGATTTCAACAAGAAAAACATCTCAAGTAATTTCCCATCAGAAGCTGCAGCTATTTCTACAGCTACAAATGGATAATGTTCCTTTCAGAGCATGTTATAACAGCAGGTGCCCAACTGTGACCATCTTTAAAGGCAATCTTTATAGACTGTACATCATCCATACCATCTGCTTAAAAAGATTGTGATTAATAAATTATCATTTCATAATGCATATTCCTGAATTCTTTTTACATCATGTGTTTGGCTGTTCTGTAGAAATAAAGTTTAACATCACCACCTGAATATTACACAGCACAAGGCTAGCAATAAAAAGTGGGAAATGAAAGAACTAATAGATTCTATATTGACATGGCAAGAATTTATTACATGAAACTGTAAGTAGCAAAAAGAAATTAACAATTTTATTGGGGCTTTTTTCTGCATCTCCTATGATCCACAGTTTAACACAATATGTGTAGAAATCATTGCTGCGATATACCAGTTTAAAAGACAATCACAGCAATTTTCTTTCCTTCTTCAGGTCATCTGTCTGCAGTTAGCTCAGTGACATAACAGTACAGTAATGATCTACTTGACATTTTTGTTTCAATGAAAAAGGGTGGAACAGATATAATGTGCACGGATTGAGAAATAATATGCTATGTTACATAGTCGGATTAGTAAACCATTAAATAATTATTTATGACCATTGCTTTTTCTTTGAACAACATACAGAACAGTTAATTGTCCAAGAGATTAATTTTCCATTAAATTGATGATATTGTGCTTCCATTTTTCTTTAAAAACTTTTTTCGTGAATTGGACAATATTGTCAAAAATTTCAATCAATCATCACTTTGTAGAAATAAAATTGTGAAAATGATACCAGCACTATTATTATTATTATTATTATTATTATTATCATTATACCTGGTTCAATAATGAGAGTAGGCCATATGTAATTGCCTTTTATTATTAATAATAACTGAACATTATGACATTATGCAATACACCAATACTGTGAATTGTATTACCAGCGTGTTTGTCCTGCAGACAGTTAACATTAGTCTATTTTATTGGACATCAGTCATGCCATCCATACTCATCAATATAAGCTTTTTTTAGCAGGGTAACCCGACTGATCAATACCAGACTTAGTGGGAAGGTGAGGGTTCAATAGAGAGGTTAGAATGGATATCTTCAGTGTTCTATGTACATTAAATCAGCACATTCAGCTCATAGGCTATTCTCACATTGAAAGGTACATTTAACTGGACTGGTCCACTTTGAGATATAGCCAAATTGCTAGCTTGGATATAACCTTAGAGAGGCACCTAAATGGAGCTCCTGCACTCAACAAGGCTAATTAATTAATTAAACATCAAGAAGCCAACTTGTGGAGAACTTGTGAAAGGCAGTAAAATCCCCTGTAGCACAATTATGTTAGGACCATTCATAGAGACAATAGTCTCACAAATACAACTATAAAACAACGTGTACAACTGGTATATAACACTGAGCAACTGGTTAACTGCAAGAACCCTAATGATATTGTTAGGTGCTGTATGATGCAGCACTAAGTATGGGGGGCAGGTCTCATACTAGAACAAGCAAGCATTCTTGTAATGGAGGTATTCACAGCTAATACAGAGATATGTGAAGACATTGTGTTTTCACTGAACATCATCTATCCTTTCACTACTACCACCACTGGCACCTGCAGCAAGTTTGGACCGTTGTCGGGTTCCTGTCTGCAGTTTTAAAGGCATTCCTTTTTGGCTTTCCTTTCTCTCCCTTAGATGTGCCTGTTGCTAAGTTACTGGAAGCATTCTCTCCACACACATCATGTTTAGATTTAACAGAGCTAACCTGGCCGCCTCCCTGTGAGTCAGAAGTCAACTTAGCAGTCTTAATAGCAGCAGTCCGTCTTGGCCTTTTAGCCTCAGCAAGTATGTCTTGAACAAATGAAAAGTGTTCATCAGGTTTTCCAGGCTTAGAGCTTTCATTCTGAGCTAAGTTTGCTCCACTCTTTTCCTGAATGGAGTCTTGTTCTTGTGCACCTTGGTGGTTTGACAGAGCATCAGCAGTGGCACCCCCCACGGAGGTAAGGTCAGAGGTCATTTGATGTTCTTTTTGATCACAAGTGTCTCCATTCAATTGTTCAGAAACAGTGTCATCTACCACATCTTCGTCCATGAATGCTATATCACAGCTTGCATTGGTTGCACTGTTAGTTTCTTTTTCAGTTTGTTCACACTCTTTACTTAGATCTGACAAAATGACTTGGTTTTCTGTTAATGTAACAGCTTCTACTTCAGGAGTTCTTGTATTTGCTTTTCTTTGGCCAGGTTCCGCCTCAAACACAAGCAAGTTCTCTACCACAGGTTCAGGTTCTGGCTCAGGGGGTAGGGCTTTGTTCTTTTTATGTGGGACTTTTGCATTTTCTGAAAAAAAAAAAGGTTTCACTAAAGATTACAAAACAAAATCAAAGTAAAAACAGAAAAGGAATAAAATTCTGGCCATCATGCAAATCTTTTAATATCCCCACTATATGATTTACCTGTTCCTTCCAAAGAACTGATACCGTCAACCAGGTATGCAATGAGGTCTGTTATACAGGTTAAGTGATAGACAAGCCATATCAATTATCATAATATAGTGCCCCCCCCCCCCCCCACCACCATTTGGATGATTTGGGACTAGATCATTTATTGAAGTAATGCTAGGCAATTTCCATATTTTTTTTCTAATTAATACGACAAAATATCAGTTCCATAAAATTTATTTGAAATAAATGGTAATTTTTGTATTATAAAGCAATGAGTTATCCAAAGTGTACTCTTACCATTATGTTTAGATTCTTTGTGCCTTAACCTCTCTCTCAGTACCTCCACTTCTTTATGCAGACTCTGCAAGTGCTGCTCTGTCTCCATAACATCTTGAGATAAAACCTGAAAAAAATATGTCAGTTAAAACTTGAAATCAGTATTGTTTTACCTTCATTCAGTCTGAGTCACGGGCAGTTTTTTCACTTACATCATAAATTGAGATGAAAACAATTCAAGTACCTTATGAATCTGCCTATAAGCTCAGTCCTTCATAGACAGGAGTCTACTATATATTGAAAGAAAACCAAAAGCCATTCTAAAGCTACAAACACCAAGAGGACAGCATGCAAATGTCTGTATTCAATGGTTTTTCCTTAATCTAAGTTACATTTAGAGATATGACCATATACATAACATATTGAGATATGCCCATAAACACTCTCACCTGAATATGTTCCTGTACATTAGCTTTCATTTCCTGTACTTTGCCTATCTGTCCTATCTGGCCTCCAGGATCAACAAATAATTTTCTGAAATAATACAGACATGAATTACAATTTCTTAAGAACACGCTACATCAAAACAGAAGATGAGACACACGGCTGAGACCAAATTCACAGTGATCTTATTCTCATCTTTAATAACTAAACATGGTTAAAAACTTATTAGCTGACAAGTATGCTGTTTGGTTCACCAGTTAACATCCAAATTTAAAGAAAAGTTAATCTAAAACATTGTGAATCTCTCTGATAACACTGATGCCATGAGATGTTTGTAACTTACTCAAACTCACTGACTAGACTTCCAAACATGCCACTGTCCTTACTGGTGGCCAGAGTATTGAACAGCTTGTACTCCACATGACTTGTGTCTCCTAGGTTCACTACTGACAGCACCAGTGGCTGAAAGCACCTGAAAACCAAGTCATTCATGTGTGGTGTAAGATAATTGAATCCATGTACGGTAAGGATTGGATCTTAACTGAGGTGAATTTTAACAACACCATATTATTTAAGGTCATCAGTTTTTTAAAATTAGAACATTCCTATTGAGTAGAAGGTTGAAAGGCAGGGTTCCCAGTATAGTTCTGTACTTTACAGTAAAAGAGCCACAAATATACAAAGAAATATAGTTGTAATGATTCTTAAATTTTGTGTCTGAAAGACGAGAGAGAGAGAGAGAGAGAGAGAGAGAGAGAGAGAGAGAGAGAGAGAAAGAACCCTACCTATCCACTGCATGCATTATGACATGATCAAAGTTATGAAGAGCATTGTTAGCTGAGAGGCTGCAGCCAGACAGCATGAACAGAAAGTGGTGACTGGTAATGGTGGGGAATGCATCCTGAAGCTGGAAGTGGAGAGCGCGTTCACGTAGTGTTATACTGGGAGTTGTATTTCTTCTAAATCTGTACCATCCTACAACATTCTGAAATATGAATGTATACTTTAAGGAAATGCCATATATGTTTGTTAAGATTTTTTATTATGTACTAAAATGTCAAAGGTTTAATTGAAAAGTAAATACTGGATTTACAATTCAGAATCAAACTAAACAAGAAAAAATAAAAGACATGAAAACATGTGCAACAGGCAGTTTTACAGCATTTCACTTTCCAAAAATACAAAAAAATGGGATTTCAAATACATGAATTGACTTGAGCATGTATTTTAAAACAGGCGCAACATTTTATCATCATCAATTATGGTAAAATGCTATTAATCTTAGTCCCAGTGGTGGTTGGCTGAACAGTGTTTGGAAAAGTGTACCTTAATTTTTTCTCCTAGTAGCTCAACCAACTTCTGGAAGTTCAGTGAACCAGCAGAGTTGTAGAAGCTGAACAGGCCCAAGCATGGTATGTGGGACTGAATGGCTAAAATAAAGAAAACAGTAATTGCAAAGACCCATGTTTGACTTGGAGACATCCTAAATAGTAAACAATTAAAATTCAGACAATAACTTCACCAAGTTTTTGGTATTCAAACCAACTTATCAGGTTACCTGACACAACCCACCTTCATAAGCTAAAGATACAGCGCACAGCAATGTTTAAACCACATCGCTGAGCTGAACAGACAGTCCCTGTCCTAGATGAAAGCAAATCCTGTTTCACCATCTAGATCAACTCAAATTTGACTTTTTTAAAACACAACCAATTTGATCCTTCTAACTTACAAAAATGTTGAGAATAAGCTAGAAATCACTTCAAAGATTTTTTTTAAATTTGAGGCAGCACAGTGCTTTGAGCATGGGACTTGATCTAGTGGACTGTTGACCTTTTTCACAACATAATTTCCTATCAGTTTCACTCCTTTAAATGTCATGTAGAATTTATACAGATATATATTAGTGTCTGAACCTAAAGGTTAATTTCTATTGCCTTTTCATGAATTGTTATTTGCTTTACCATAAAAATTCCAAAGAATTCCAAACTCACTTTTTCTAAAAGGGTTGCATGTTTTATTTATTTATCTATTTATTTATTTGCTTGTTAATATATTTTACTTGAGGACACTTTTTCTCAGCCGACAAGGCTGGACCACTATGTATGATGTCTTGTACAAATGGCCAATCACCAACTTACCTATGACTGTTTCTTCTTTAACATTGGTTATCTGAGAATCACTTATGGTATCTGTCACACGCTTGTGTACTTGTCCAATTAAGAAGCCCTCCTAAAATTAAATCAAATAATTATAACTTTTACATGTAAAACCTGAGGCTGTGTGTACAAGTTACAACAAAATTAATATGTGTTTACCATACCAAGGTAAGTGAGTCTAAGTCTCCACGTCTACAGTCTAATGTTAACACAATAATATTAGTTTTAATCCTTTTACGGTTAAATTTTCATCATAAAAAGTCAACAATGAGTATTCCCTGCCACACCATTTTGTCACAAAATGAACAAATAAGCAATGTAGATAATAGCCAGCCAATCGATTCAACAGTCACTCTGCGATCTAATTACATGATTGCGATTATGTTTAGAAAATACATCCATCATTACTAACATATGCAACTGGCATTAATTATTTTTGGAAGACATTGAATGACTCACCCAAGAATCTGCTAGTCTTATCCACAAGCAGACAACAAACTGTTTATTTATTCTAATATAATACTGCATATCAAAATATGTTGCTATAAGCAATATCATGTAAGTAGATGGTTCATCTAGATGTGCAAAATTTACCTGATCGCCTGGACTGTTTATAAGTTCGAAAAACAAGGAAGCGAGTGCAGACCCGCTTACAACCACCGCCATAGTTCCTTATGAATTGTGGGACTGATAAATTTGCCAATAGATGTCAGCAGCTTTTAGTCAGCCAGACACTTGTTCAAGACGGTGATAAAGCGTCACTTTGGCTCACTTCACGCACGGACACTGCTACAAACTAATTTTGAAATGCACATGGGACGTTAAGGCGAAGTTTTAAAAATAAAAACACTTAACCGTAAGCCCAGGAATCATGTTACTACAAAGATAGGCCCTAATAGGTACTCGGCAAAAACGAATTTTTGTAGGGGAGGGTTGGGGGGGGGGGGGGGCAATTTTTCTAACCAACTTGTAGCACAGTCAGTTCATATTACAGGGGTGGATCCAGAGATATAGTCTTCCAAACTATCTTTGCTGATTCAGCCTCAATTTTTGACCGTCCTCCGAAAGAAAAATAATTAGATATCCGTCAAAACTTAAAAATCTGACCGTCTTCCGGAAGACCCAAAAGACGGCCTAAATCCGCCTCTGTATTATATATTAGCACCGTGTATAAAAGTACTGAAGCATGAATTTTTGTGCAATGCATTTTGATTCGATGCTTTATTTCGTTTTTAATTCATAATGATCTGGTTTTGAATAACTGCATGGCCGGTCATTTAGAACGACATGACACCCTGGACAGTCTAAAAAGAACCACCGACGTCAGGGTAATAGACATAAAATATAACTTAAGGGAATTTCAAACGCGTACAGTATACAGGGGTGGATCCAGGATTATTTGAAGTGGGGTCCGGTTTTTAGAAATGACAGGCCGCGGATGCGAAGCCGACCCTCGCACTCCCCTCCCCCTTGGCGCGGGTACAGTTTTGATACAGTTTAGAACTATGATTCAGCTAGTCAAATTTCTAATTTCAGGAGATGCTTATTGCTGTGATTTTTTAAAGAAATTGAAGGGGGGGGGGGGGTTAGGACCCCCCCCCCCCCCGACAACCGCCACTGAGTATACCTTTTACGTTTAATCCCCAATGAAATGTCAGGTCAGCCTACCTTCAACATTTTTCGCGATATTGAAAATTTAAGTTGATCCAAATAATGTTACATTTAGGTAGGCCTATTGCATTGTTCGCTTTATGATTAATACCTATTAGGTTTGAGGGCGTCATGTACATGAACTAAATGCTTGCTGTCCAGAATATTAGTGATCAATGGATTTCAGACCTGTCCAACAGACAGTATCTACAATTTTTTAAAAAAGGACCCCATTATAAAAGAGCCCATCAATCCTGAAATTCAAGACAGACTTGCGGTTGTAGGAGTGAGTTGTCTTCATTGTCACCTATTACGCGCTTAAGTTTAGCCCTTTTGCTGATATCTGTCACGGCCGTCAACGGCGTCCTAATTTAAGGTGCTCCTTTGCTCATACGGTGACAACTCAAGGAGGGAGAGGCAAAAAATAAAATTTAACGCCAAACAAGTGTGTTTTGGTTGAAACCATGACCTGAAAAGACCTATATGCACCTCTATAACAAACCATATTAATTCCTTTCTTCATTTCAATGAAACCAATTATAAGAATTATTCATGTCCACAGTTGCTTTCTGCCATCTTCTGATATCTTACATTCAAACTAAACAATCCAAGGTATCCCTGAAAAACTTAATTGAAAAGATCGGAGATTTAATGAAAAATCAATGTAATACGTTAACAAATTAAACGAAAGAAATATATTGAAAGAGCTATTTTCTTGACAAGTTTTTAGTGTTTGGTGTCCATCGGCCTGTGGACTTCGTCTCAAACTGAGAAATTCGATTTCCCCGTTTGATAAATGTTAGAAAATAACTTATTCCGCCAGGATTAAACCACAAGAACGAGTTCATAATTTTTTGGCATAATAAAAATAGCGTTTTTGGAAAGGTTCCAGCCATTCCACAGTTTAAACAAGGATGGAACATGCCTTTGAGCAGGGTAGGCCTATCTACAACAAAATAATAGTTATATAAATTTTAATCTCACGAGCGATTGCGCAAGTGGTTTTATTTAGATTCTTGGGGGTCATTTTAATTTGGTCTCATCACGCTCCATAAAACGGGTTTTGGTGGCTTTTTCCATAGTTTTCCTTCATCACTCATCGTCATCTTCACCGCCCCATCCAATTTTTTAAAGCACCATGCCTCAACGCGTTTTCCATTTCTTGTCGCCCATATATCACCTCTCACCAAAAGTAGCCTCCGCACGGGATATCCATTTTCGAAGTTTTATTTTCAGCTACTGCGGTTTGTTTTTAAAACATATGACATCATATGCTAATCAGAAACTTAACGTGCTTTTTTATGAAAAAAAAATAAAAATACCGCGACTTTAACATCTTGAAGGCAAATATCTTTTTATACACAATCTTCAGTCAGTAATTTAACATAAAATTGTTATTGTAGAATAGAATTGGCATTAGAAAAGGGCTGGGATGAAGAGAGATAGGATTTGCTTCTCAACTTTTCATGAGAAAAATATCGGTGGTTTTCTGAAGTTGATAGCATGTCAACCTCTTTAATAGGAGATGGTGTGACCAGTGGCGTTTACAATGGAGAGATGTAACGGATAGGTCTAGGCCGATGTCTGCACTGTATGATCCCTTAGGACATCTATGCCAGTCATTATAGATTTGACTTACCACTGAAATAAACTTCAGCCTGAGGAAATCTAGTCATTATCACTTCGTTATTGATATCCATCTTTTATTGCTTCATCCAAGAGAAAAGTTTTTGATTTTAAGACGTTTGAGAATTGAGTGAATTTTAGTTATGGGCGCATATCTGTGGCTAAGTTCACTTCTTCCAAATAACTTTAGCGCTTAGTCAAAGTCTATTTACTATTTCAGTTTATGGGAAGACTATCACTAAATTCATTTTGGAAACGTACAAACAATCCATGAACCCCCTATATTTCATCATGTTACGTAAACATGTCAATGTCTAATTCCGGTTCCCAGTACCAATGAGATGCAGTAAAGTTGATGAATCAGGAGAAACTGCCCTTTCGTGGAAGAACCGTTGAAGGAAGTCCTGTTTATAACGCCACAGTGAATATAGTAAAGTGAATGGGTGTGAGTTTGGTGACCAAGACAGGGGAAGGTGACTTGGATATGAGGGACTACCTGTCTTAACACATAGGCCGATTGCGGAAACGACACTGAAACGAAATATCGGGACATCTCCATCTGAACATTGGGACGACACGTTTGTTCCGTACACCTTTCACATAAAACGCTAAGCCTAGTTTGTGTCCCTTTTTATTGTCATTAACTGAAGGTTAATACTATCGAAGAATGAGGAAAATAACTACCAATAAATTTATATAGGCCTACATTTTTCAATATGTTACAAAAAAGTGTTTAACCGGTCGCACACGGCATTTCGGCGCAAGAAATTGCAATGAACGATTTCTTCTGGCACGTCATTGGTATTTAATCGGCTATTTTAATAGCCAATTAAAATTCATCAAGTCGCAAACTAAAGAGTAAACATTTCCTCTTTTTTCTGGTCAGACGATTATGCTGCTTAATGAATTTCTGATATTTTCACCTTGTGTAAAATGGAAAGATTTATGTAAGGGCATTACTTTCAATATAATTATTATTTAAAGCGATGTAACAGCCAGTTGGGATATAAGTACGAAGAGGCTATTCACAAAAATGAATGAGAAAGCATGACAAAAATTCCGTCCTCGGGCCCTTTAGAATAATTAAAGTCCGTATCATTGAAACATGACAAACATGTACATAGAAAGACGTCCAAAGCACACTTACAGCCTCTATTATATTAGAGTAAAAATTCTATTGCGATCTATAACGACCCTTCATTTACTTGAAATGAATGATACACAGCAGGTTGTGACATTTTTATTTCCGTTTTTAATATTCGACTGTTGAAAATCCTATATTTCAACACAAACACAAAATATATCCGCAATAAAATATTTATCGTATAATTGGGCTTTAATTGAAGGTTTAACGCTGACTGTCCATACATTGATTAGAATTCCGAAAACTTGATGACAATTTAAATTTACGTTAGTTCTAGAAGCAAAACCAAGTTCTATGTCATGATATTTGCACCGCAAAGTACGTCTTTAAAAGTCGACGCAACATGTTTGTTCAGTTCTCCACGTTGGTTTACAATGCGATCGTGCGATAAAGCAATGTGAAGCGGCAAAGCGGTGTGAATGAAACTCATGCATATGTCTCGTTCTGAGGTATGACGATGTTGTGACGATGACGTTAATAGTCACGTGACCTACACACCTCCAGAGAGGCCGTATAAGACATCAGACGGTTCGATCAGTAATTATCAACATTAAGTCCAAAGATCACATAGGTTCCAAGCAGGCAGGTTTTCACAACATAGGTCCAAATGCATCCGACAATTCATGGAACTACCATGGACGATAAAGAACGAGTAAGTGTAAATTTTTATGTTATGATTTGGCAAATTTTAACCTCCATCTCTTTCGAAACCCATGAATATTTCAACAAATAAGGACGTCTCGTTTTCTTTTCGAATTCTATTAAATATGCGATATGACGCATCACATTACCTGTCGCCTGAACAGTAAGTCAGTGAGAACGTAAAAGAGTATTTTTCTGATGAAACATATGAGTTGGTTTTTCTAAATCTTGCGAAATTAAGCTGGTCAACTGAGTGCGTTTATCAGACGGCATTAAGCCAGGATGTACAGTGAAGTGGGCTGGGCAAATGTGACCGCCGTCTCATCCAATCACAGGTGTTAAAATGTTGACAAGCCCCCATTTTATGCACACATTGTTTAAACACTCATTATAAGATGTATTTTTGGGAAATTTTGAGTTTTTAAAGGGCCTGCATTTTGAGTCCTCGGTTTGACCTTGGTAACCTTGGGACTCCTGCAGGCCACACATGGGCCATTCCGCTGCCAAAAATCGCGATGTTTGGAACAATTATGAATTTTTTATACTGAATGCAAATGTAAACATATGAAATGTAATTTATAAAGTCATACAAACATATTTGTATGTTTTCGAGTGTAAAATGGCTAG